AACCATCGGAAACCGAATAATTACGTGAATTCCACCAAGAATAGGGCATTTTATGATGCTGATTTATGATAGCTAAGTCAAGGCGATTTAACTAATTCACGCCCTCACGAGATAAGGCTGTTTACTTACTTTTTGCATGGACTATGAACAAAAACTTTTCAGCCTTACTTCGTGGGGGGCGTGAATTGCTTAAATCGTCATCCATGTCCACAGATTAGCAGGCCACTTTTGAATACCTTCCCAATAGGTCTGGATCAGGGATGGCGGATGTTTTTTAGGCAAAGGCACGAGCCCAGAAATTCCTCAAACCTGAAATAACGAGGTAAAACGTCACACATGCAAATTAAGGAAGAGGTGACGACGTGCGAATTATTCTAATTTGGCCAGATGTGGTTTACCCAATTGAGCCATGAAAATTATACCCTGGTTGAATCTGGTTCATTGGTTCAGAACTAGGGACTTGTACTAGCTAAGATACTGGGGATTATTTTCTAACCCATGTTAGGGAAACTGATAAAAAACAATTAGTATTTCATGAGACAGGAAAACAGGGTATATTTTTAATTGCTCAAATCTGCCGGGGGTACCAATAAAATTCGTCTTTGAATGGGGTTTTGACCATCATGTGTTTGTAAGCGACTAGAAAGGGATCGAATTGATGAATGATGGTTGGTGGATGAATTTTTAAATTGTAGTTGAACGGACTGATTCGCGCATCATTTATTCGGGGTTCAGCGTCAAACACTGCAAAATCATCGAGAAATTATGGTTGTTTGTTCCCCGGGGATTCTTCTCTTTATCCGGAACGTTCACAATCCATGACCTGGGAATGCCCATGAATGTTTCCCATTTAGGCAGATTATTGTTGAGCAATATTGAAATCACCTGTCGTTCATGCTGGTCATGTCAGTCATGTCTCATCTTTGCAAACAAAAATCAATTATGGTTTCCCTTGGTTCTGTTAATCATTCTTGTGAGCTCCCCCAGTCCGCCATCATCTTTGTTGAACACCTGGCTTCCCCTGCGAATTGCCACGAATTTGGATATATTGGGATCATTTCTGGCCATTTCTGGAAGATTGTCATAGCGAAGTCACCATTTCTTCCAATCCCATGTCAAATCCCAATATTGTTCCATACATCCATGGGATATGAATCTGGAACATTGTTCTCAAAATCCATTCAAATCTTTGTTCATGATTCTTCTCAACTTTGCCGTACAAAGTTCTCGGTGTTCCAATTCCCCCCTCGCAAGAAATGAGAAATTTGTCCGGCCATGGCCATGCCCTGTCCTGGGGGGTCTCCCACAAGGCACCTGTCTCTCCAGTATTGAATGTGAACAACTCGCTGACGATGCACATGAAGGTGCCACCTTCAGCTTGTCTCCGGACAAGCTGACGTGGCTGCGATCTACCCCTGTTGATGATTGTATAAGGATGTTTTCTAGGGGGTTATACACTAGCCTCTTGAAATAGTGATCCATGGGAAATTGGGGTTATACTATGTCTTTCAAGCCTTGATATCTTGGGGGAGTTTCTCATATGGGAAATCCTGCCACTTAACCAGGCAGTTTATGGGATGAAACAGGGATACCAACTGGGCGGTGGCTGTCACCATGCGCTTAGGGGCGGAGGTTTTCAAAGTTTGACATCGCTTTGGACATGTGGAATTCCCCCGAAAATTGGATGGTTCAGTAGTCCAATATCTCATTGGTGGTTTGGAACATTTTTTATTTTCCCCCATAGTTGGGATGATGATCCAATCTGACTTTCATATTTTTCAGAGGGGTTGGGCTCAACCACCAACCAGATATCATTTTTTCCGACATAAAAACGGCCAAGAATTGATCGCCAGATTCGCAGATGGTCATCAATCCATTGCTGGGGATTTATTTCATGATTTATGCATCCAATTATAATGAGTCGTATTGATGGTGGGATGACCATGGATGACCAGAAACCATATGCCATGTTTTACCATATATATGACATATGTTTGAGTAGTGCTTTGTTAGTAGCCAGCTGATTAGGCCGAAGATCGAAAGTACGACAACAAGTACGCGATGCAGTTGCAAGCGGACTCTTGGGGATATTCATTGTTCAGGGAAATTGTCGTTTAAGCATCAAAAACTAGGGTAGTATATATATAATATATATATATATTATATCATACTATATTCAACTATGACATAGTTTTATTTTTTATATTATTTTGTTAGATTGTCAAAGGAAGTTGGGAAGCGATCTTCCGAGTTACGGACGACTGGAATAGCAATAACAATACATAACATAACAAGACATACATAACAAAACATACACAACCATGCATATCATCACAATACATACACAACAATACATTGCATTTTAATGGCAGATAGCATTGGAATGGCTGCATGAATGTTGCCATGTTGTGCTGCCATGTGCGTAGATACATGGGTGTTTGCTACTTGGTGGTGCAGATCGCATTGAAATGGCTGCATGAATGTTGCAGGAGAGTTGTGTCGGGGAGGATGCCACAGCGCGAAACGTTGTGTTTTTTCGTGTAAAGTGGCTGCAGCCGGCAATGAAGGGTAGCTCGTTTTTGATGCGGATGCAAGCCATTCGTTTTCATGTTTTTCTGGTTCCTCCTATGGCCCGGAGGTTTCAAAAGTGCTTCAGGTTTGTCTTGCGTGGAATCTGTCTGTGGCGCAGTTCGCGTGGTGATGATGTGATGTTGTGGTAATGTGAGGTGGTGATGGTGTGGGATGTTGTCAATTTATGTTGAGTTGAGGTGGTGTGAATGTGAGGTGGTGATGATGTAGGGTGATGACTCTAGGATACTCTAGGATACTCTAGGAACATGCCAACTGGACTTAAAGACCTTTTGGGTAATGCTATTGCATTTCATCCGTAACTCGGAGTTCCTCTACGAAACTTTCTTTGATTATGAGATATTATATTACAGTAGGTTTTTAAGTTATATAAACTATACGGCTGAAATATGGTTTAACATTTCAAGAAGATGGCAAATTCGTGTTTTCAATTGAAAGGCCAACATTTTTGTAAAAACTGGTTTGTCCAAAAGTGGAATTCTGCAAAAAAGTGCTTGGTGTAAAAGAGTGTTTGTGCAAAAGCTGGCGTAAAAATTAGTTTGTGTAGAAACTGGCGTGTAACACCCTGGAGATTAAACAGAAAGGAGTCAAGTTGGTAGATGCAAGCGGCATGGTTGTGAGACTGCATGCGGACAAGGAGGAGTGGCAGGTGTTTATGGAAAGTGCTGAGCACAAAAGCGGCAGGTTGGAACGTACTTCGGCCTGGAACGGGCAGGAAATGTATTTGAAAAATCGTGGAAAAATGGGCGAGAACGGGCCGTAAAACGTGGAGAAAAAGTGGGAAAATGCTGCATCCCAGGGGCAAGCCTGATGATGATGATGGTGGTGGTGGTGGTGGTGATGACCACCGAAACGATGATGATGTAAATAAGGTCAGTGATAGTTAGTTTTAGAAAGAGACGAGACGACATGAGACTATACTAGAGTGTACTAGACTGATTATAATTAGACTATATTATACGAAACTAAACCATACTATACAAGACTGTACTAGACTATAGTGTATTAGCGTGGGGGCCGTAGGGTTCCCCAAAGATCCACCAGATCACATTTTTTGGGGGAACATGGTGTATGTGGAGGTTTCCTAAATGGGGGTAGCTCCAGTTCTCATCCATGTTGGGGATCCATTGTGGAAAACCTTAAGAAAAAAAATATTGCTAATGAATTTACCAAACAAAGGGCAGACATGGCGGGTGAATATTTGGTCCACTTCACATCGCCCCGACTTTGGAGACCGAATATCCTGCTGAAATCCGTAGTTTCTCCGGCTGTTTTCCTGAACTTATGAAGTTGTATCGCTGCAAAACCTCAAGTTGTCAGAAGTAGATTTTAACAGATGTCCTGAGCAAAGATGATGAACTCAGGACTACCAGTCCTTGATTGACAACATCAATGATGCCAGCAAGAAGTGCAATGACCTTCGAAAACGCCTTTACAAGATGGATGCCTACGCCGATAAATTTATCAAGCTCCCAAGTGGAGTGTGGAACAAAATTGATGCTCAGTCGTAGGATTCTGATTTTTAAAATCCGATTTTGGGCGAGTTTGGAACAACATATCCATTCGCAAGGGCAATGAAACCTCGGCAGGAAATTGCATGGTTCAAAAGTAAAGCCCTGTGAGAATGCCGCGCAGTCTACGGCCGCGAAGATACGTCCGTGCACTAACCGTGGCTGCTGAGAATGGTGAAAAACTGCAGCTGTGGATCCTGTGGTGACCTGAGCGACTTTGTGGCAGACCTCACAATTGATAGTTTGGGTAATGAGCAGTTACGATGCTTAAATTTCATCAATTTCATCCCCAGCCTTGGATAGTTAGTTTAATATAGTAATATAGTGTTGTTTTTAATGGAACACACAACCAAAAGATGAGTTTTGCGTGGAACACACAACTGACCGCTTTGGGATGGTTTCGGTAGCAGTCGATGTGTCGAACCACTGGCGAAACGGCGAAACCGGAGATTCAGTGGCTAAACTGCTGGGTCTTCATGGAGGAACATCATATCCAATTAGTTGCAGTATGATTCTTGGTGGGTTTCCAATCGCTGGGCAATATTTTGGAAAGCCTCATTACACTGGATGAGTTAAAGTCAGTTAAAGTAAAAATCTCAAGCGCCACGGATTTTCGCAGGACTGTGTGAAGTGTGCTGATGGAAACCCGATTGAGTCAGATACCTGATTTTTCGAAGCTTGTGCCATCAAGAACCTCTCGTGAGGACAACATTTGCAACCATCCAAGATCATCCAAGACTATCCCATCCCATGCTTTCGGCTAGTTTCCTAAAATGGGGGATCCCCCAGCTTAAATATAATATAATTAATATATATATATTATATATAATATAATATATACATATAATATGTATATATATATTTCAATAATTATTACATATGGTGAAATTTGGATGATAACTGGGGGACACCATGGGGATCATGGCGAGTGTGACTCAGCGGCAGTGGACGTGGGCTATGGGTCAAATATTTTTAGACGAAAAACGTCGAAAAACCTGCGATTTTCGTCATTCGCATTGTGTTACCCTCTGGAAAACTAACATAGCTATTGAAAATTGCCATTTATAGTGGATTTACCTGATTTACCCATTAAAAATGGTGATTTTCCATAGTTACGTTAGTTTACCAGAGGGTAATCTGTATGAAAGGGATTGAAAGGGGACCCAATTTTGACCACCCAAATAAATCCAAAGAATGAGGATGTTTTAATGGGGAAAACTTTGGATCTAGCATCATCCTTTGGTGGCAAGATGACCAGTTGTTGACACAGCAATAACTTACGTATGGTAGAAACCCGGCCGGAATGGGATCCCAGGAAATGAATTATCCATGAATTATGTACCTGTCTGTATACTGTATAGATTTGCTTTGATTCGATCGATAGATGGATGTGTATATACATGTATGTTTATGTATATACTGTAGATATTATACGCAATACACACACACAAACATCTACATGTAAATATATCAAAGTTCGACAACTCACGAGGCTCCCTCCACCACTTACAAGTCCTGTATCGCCGTGCATCTGCGCTCCGCGAGGCTCTGCAGATGGTGGAAAATGTGATGGGTAAAATCGTGCTCGTACCTCAGAAAAAAGGAGCAAAAAAAGCGTCAAATTGGATGTTTAACCATCAAAATGCTGTTTTTTTCGGATCAAAAAGTCGTGCTCTAAGCTTCAAACCATGGGGCTTCTTTATCATGGAAAATATGGGGAGTTTTCAGCAACATGGGGGGATTCAACTGATTCATGCTGGCCAGTTTGGTACACAAAAAAACGGTGGTTGGAGATGTATCAAATGATATCACATACCCTCTGGTAATTTAACGTAGCTATTGAACATGACCATTTATAGTGGATTTTCCCATTAAAAATGGTGATTTTCCATAGTTATGTTAGTTTACCAGAGGGTATACCATTGGGGGACATGGCCAAACCACTAGAAATGAGGGGCCCTCCAAATCGAAGATGACCACCGTTAATAACTCTTGTATAACTCTGAAGTGCTCGTTTTTAAGAGCCGTTTTGAATGGCCAAACTGCCACGTTTCTTCCATAAATTTTGGCACGTGGTAACATAAATCATTCAGGAGCATGTTGGATGTGGCCTCTCTTGGTGAAACCCCGAGGCAAAAGTTGCTGATGCCCAAGGTGGCACCTGATTGGTATGCTGGTGCCCTTGGCCTTTGGCTTTCTTTGGGGGTTGATCACCACCCCCAACTGGAGAGGTGGAAAATCCTAGTTTTTTGCAGGTGGAAAATAAGTGGAAATTCCTGAATAGATGTTTGCACATGGAAAAGAACCACCAGCAAAAGATGCTACAATATTGTGATGGGGGGGTGAGAGTCTCAGGGGAGCTGTATGTGAGGCATGATTGGATGCGACGATTGGCAAGGTCAATCCGCAATAAAAGTTGGTAGCTTTCACCCACAGCCATCAACGATCAATCACTTGCTGATATCCTGGAATTATTGGTTCTACATCTGTTGCCATTCCTGAAAAAAATCTCCCAATTCTTGTAGGTGTTCCCTCCCCATGCATTGTCAACTTTAAGCTAGACACTTCGTTTTGATATGCTCCTGTTTAATGGCTATTTTTTGCACATACACTAACCCCCCAAAAAGATAGAATAATAGTAATTTATCATAATTTATCACTTTTCTTGTAGGATTTACCAACTTATATTTTTTTAACGGGTTACTCATGGATTTTCACTAAAAATCACCGTTTTTTTGCAGGTAATCCTCACCTGGCCACCCACTGCCCACAGGTACTCGCCGCCTTACAGAGTTTCCAGAAGCCTCTGTGGTGAGCTCGGGGAAAAAACGTTGCAACTGGCGGTTGCACAAGTAGAGAAAAACAGAGAAAACCAGGGATTCTGGGAAAACATTCGGCCATGGGCTTCTTCAAGTTCTTCGTTACATTCCGAAGCTCGGAGAATCCGAGGAAAAAAACGAAGAACTTGAAGACTGGCAGAAATTGAAAGCCTTCTGACGAAAAAAAGCAATGATATGACTCTCCGAAAGCCATGACGGACGAAAGCCATGAGCTCTCAGGCAGAAAGTCTTCTCCTCATGGCTTTCGTGACGTTGGAAGTGCCTGACATGGAGGTGCCATGCTGGAGCTGAGTTGCCATTGAAAAAATTGGTTCCTAATGTGGTAAACCGCATGCCATAATGGTGATTTTCAGGTTTATTAATGGTGATTTAATGAAAAGGAGTGGAAAGAAGAGTTCCAAAAGATGAACTCCTGAGTTTACTCCTGGGATAGTTACTTTCAAAACTTGGTACCCATCTTGAGTTAATCTTTTTTGGATGATGACTTGCTAGGAAGACTTAAATCAAGAGTTAATTCCCCCATAGTGTCCGCGGCAGGTTCTGGGAAGTTTGGGTGGGGAATAGTTTATTAGGTTTTGGAAAGGTTCCTGTGCAGTTCCCAGGAAGGTTCCGGTAGGTTTCAGACAGGTTCCCGTGCAGTTCCCGGCAATGTTCCGGTGGGTTTTCCTGGCAGCTCGAAGGGTGGTTCGGGACAGTTTGAAAAGTTCCTTTCAGGAGGACTTAAATCAAGAGTTAATTCTCCCACAGTAGGTTCTTGTACAGTTCCCAGGAAGGTTCCGCTAGGTTTCGGGCAGGTTCTTGTGCAGTTCCCAGGAAGGTTCCGGTAGGTTTCAGACAGGTTCCCGTGCAGTTGCCGGCAAGGTTCCGGTGGGTTTTGCTGGCAGCTCGAAGGGTGGTTCGGGACGGTTTGAAAAATTCCTTTCAGGAGGACTTAAATCAAGAGTTAATTCTCCCACAGTAGGTTCTTGTACAGTTCCCAGGAAGGTTCCGCTAGGTTTCAGACAGGTTCCCGTGCAGTTCCCGGCAAGGTTCCGGTGGGTTTTCCTGGCAGCTCGAAGGGTGGTTCGGGACGGTTTGAAAAGTTCCTTTCAGGAGGACTTAAATCAAGAGTTAATTCTCCCACAGTAGGTTCTTGTACAGTTCCCAGGAAGGTTCCGGTAGGTTTCAGACAGGTTCCCGTGCAGTTCCCGGCAAGGTTCCGGTGGGTTTTGCTGGCAGCTCGAAGGGTGGTTCGGGACGGTTTGAAAAGTTCCTTTCAGGAGGACTTAAATCAAGAGTTAATTCTCGCACAGTAGGTGGTTCCGATAGGTTTCGGACAGGTTCCCGTGCAGTTCCCAGGAAGGTTCTGCAAGGTTTCGGAAAGGTTCCTGTGCAGTTCTCGGCAAGGTTCTGGTGGGTTCCGTACGGTTTTCCTTGAAGTTCGAAGGTTGTTTCCAGGAAATTTCTGGGAGGTCCGGGACACTGGTTGCAGTTGCCGCGGAACGTTCGGGACGGTTGAAATGAAAAGGTCCTTTCAATAAGATTTAAATCAAGACCATATGGTCTTGCGAGGGATGGTTCTGGTTGCAGTCGCATTTGGACCACGGAACGTTCGGGACGGTTTGAAACGTGAAGTTTCATGTGGACATGGCCCGGGCAGCCTTTGCAGCACGAATTGTTTGCTCGCACTTGGTCATCCGCAATGAAGCGTGCCCTGGTCATGGTGTTGTGGCTGCTTGTGTCCCATGCCTTGGCTGTGGTGCTGTACCGACGTGGTACACTTCCTGGAACCAGGGTTCAATTGGTTGAGTCGGAAGCGGGCTTGACGTCTCAGCTGAGTGCAGAAGGATGGGAGGACATGGGTTGCAGCAGCACCCATTGCATGGTCATTCATGTTCTCTTCTCTTTCTCCCTTGCATCTTCGAGCATGGATGCACGTCTCATCACAGGGAGTCTGGAATGGTGAGACCCAGACATGTGACGTTCATTCATGTTCTCTTCTCTTTCTCCCTTGCATCTTCGAGCATGGATGCACGTCTCATCACAGGGAGTCTTGGAATGGTGAGACCCAGACATGTGACGTTCATTCATGTTCTCTTCAAGAAAGAATTAACTTGCGATTTCAGTCCTTCCACGAGGATGCCAGCAGCTGGAAGGTTTATAAATTTGGGCAAAAAAGAACTAACTCGCGATTTTACTCCTTCCATGGGGCTGTTCCAATGCAATAACCATTGCAGACACTACAAGAAAGCCTGGGATAAAATCGCGAGTTCACTCCTCAAACCAGAAGGTTGCCCTGGTGGAGCATAAACTTTCAAGTTTAGAATTTTGCAACTCCTGTTTTCACTCCCTTCCGTGATTTAATGGTGATTAATGGTGATTAATGGTGATTAATGGTGATTAACCCTCTGGTAATGGAATATAAATGGCTGGTTGGTGGTTTGGAACATGAAATTTATTTTTTCCATAGATTGGGAATAATCATCCCAACTGACTATCATATTTTTCAGAGGGATTGAAACCACCAACCAGATTACCATTTCAGGATGGTTTGTACAACCCACAAGAATGATGATAATGGGGATGGTTGTTTATTGGGTTTACCACTTTATTGTTTTCGGATGGCATCTCGATTGGGTTCAGCCATGATTTGTGTGTGCCATGATCAACAGTTGTATTAGATGAACATAGATTAACATAGATTAACATATAATATAAACCAATATAAACCAATATAAACCAATATAAACCAATATAAACCATATATAAGCCATATTGGGGCATGGACATCCCAGCATTTTGTTTTTCTGATCAACTCGGAGTCATGGCATGAGAAAAAAAAAATCCGTGCTGGGATGACTCCAAAGATGTCCACATCGCCTATTGACGATGTGGCGAAACGGGGATCATTTTCATCAACGACCCTCTGGTAATTTAACAGTTTGCTGTTGAAAATGGTGATTTATAGTGACATTTCCCATTAAACATTGTGATTTTCCATAGTTATGTTAGTTTACCAGAGGGTAAACATTTTTTCAAAGTCAAAGTGAGATAAATGGGATGATTTTCATGGTTTTTCAATGTCAGGATAAATGGGATTCAAACTGTGATAAATGAGATAAATGGCCATAGAAATAGTTGATTTACTCATTAAAAATGGTGACTTTTCCATAGTTATGTGAGTTTACCGGAGGGTAAATAGGATGATATGGGCAACACTTGGTGTCAATGGATCCTGTGCGAATCGGTTTAGCAGGTGGCCATGGATTTTTTCATCGGACTTGGGGGCAAGGAGGGAACCGAGGCAGATTTCCGGTGGGCCTGTGGCTTTCTGGTGCGTTGACGTCTTGTCGTTGTGGGGTTATTTGAGGAATGGTAAGTTTATAGCATCTATAAAAATGGTGATGACTGGGGGATGGTAAACATGGCAGTGTTTTACCCAGAGAGCTATTAGAGGGTAAACCAACATAGCTATGGAAAATGGCCATAGAAATAGTTGATTTACCCATGAAACATGGTGGTTTTACATAGTAAAACACGTCCCAAAACAACGCAGCAGATTGCAGTCCCGCATCGAGTTCCTCGGTGGATTTCGGGCGAACGTTAGCGACCCAAAAAATATGTGACCCTTATGTGTTTTGGAGAAATTAAGCATCCTCAAGTAGCACCAGATAGCACCAGTCATTTTTCAGAGTTTACTCAGTTTCCATATTTTCAATACTTAAATCATTGTTCACTGCCAGCGCTTCCGGGGTCAGTGATCTTGGACAATTTGGAGTACACAGTGTGACAGGTGGATGGAGCTCGAGTGGTCCAGATTGGCGCCAGTCAGCTTCGATTGGTGTCCGGCTTCCCGTTGGGACCCCTTGGGACCATTTGGACTCCCTGGGACCTCGCGAAATCCATGCAGTTTTCTGGGAGAAATGATCTACAGACTTACTTGATCTTACGTAGGTGCGACTTGTGCTTAGTAAATTTAGTAAGGGAATGATCCACCAGAAAAAGGTTTACCTATTAATAGCATGGTGATTTTCTATGGCGAACTGTTAGTCATAACCAGATGGTAGCTATCACTAGCTATCAATTTCATATTCCCAGCAACCCCCAGCAAGCCATCCAGCAAGCCTACGGACTCCGCACCGGACTTCGCACCAGCAGATGGTTGAGTTTTTTGGCTTTTTCGTCCCTCGGGACGTCTGATGTAGAAACCAAACATGTTCCATGAGCATATTAATATATCTATTATACCTATTATGATATATATAAATTTTAAAATGATATCTATTATAAATATGAATATCAGATAAATATTATTAATTGATATTAGATAGATATATAAATAATATCTATTATGTTAATATGTATTAATATATCTGTATATACCATTAATATATCTATGGAAATCCACAGTGGTTAAAACAATATCATAAACTAGCCATGACTGGGAATGGTAAGTTTATACCACCTATAATAATGGTGATGACTTGGGAATGGTAAACATGACATTGTTCTAACCGCATTATATGTATATATATATAGGTTGATCTATTAATGCAATACCATTCCCATTCATATTAGTTACACCACCAGTCGCTCCCAAATATCTGGTTGCATCCCCCATAAAACGAAGTTTTCTGGTTTCTTGGTGTAAAAAATCTGAACACAGGATGGGATTAAACCAAAGATTTCTGTCTGAAAACTTATGGTTTATCATTGGTTTATCATAATCATATCCTTACATAAACCTGTAGCAAACATGTCCCGCGATACCACTATCATAATCACATCCCCCTAATCCCCCCATGAAAAATTATGAGTCACACCATTCCATGGTCCCAAAATGTCCCACATGTTGTTTCACCCATTCCAGGGATGATCATTGGGGATGGTTCATAAAGCCCTCAATATCCCAAGGTATTTATGACAAATTTACCCCAAAATTGAGCCAAAAAAACACGTTTAACACTCACCAAAAAAAATAGCCGAAACAGGTGATCATTCCCACGATTTTTCGTGGGATTTTTGACCAACAACCAACTTTTTGGGGCAGGCCGAGTCGCAGTGATCTGGCCGTTGCCATCTCAGATCGCTTGTGTCATCATATTTCATCCATATCTAGAGAGACATGTGCAATATGTATCAAATATATAATATAGTATATAATGTATGTATATATATATACATATACATATTGATAATATGTATATAATATAATATATATATTATACACCATCGAATACATCGCATCCTTCGCTAATTTTTATCAATTTTCAGGCCTGGCCTGGGCAATTCTACATTTGGGTCCAGGTCTCAGAGCTGACATGCCATGTGATGTGGCTATTGATCAACGATTTGATGGGGATTTGATGGGAAAAACAGGAGGGGCCAGGTGAATAAATTCAGCATGTTTTTGGGCTAGAACTGCGGGTGAATAATACGCATGTTTTTGGGCTGACCCTCCAAGTAAAAGAGCGAAAAATGAAAAACAAAAGGGGATTCAAAGTTGATTCAAACTAAGATGAGGGGGACAACGTGCTTCTTTGAAAAGTACCAAAAATGGGGAACATGTGATTATCTGGAACAAAAACAACGGAAATTGACTAAGCGTAAACACCAAAGGATGGGGCCATTTCTGTCCTGGTCAAATTTTCTGTCATGTCATTCCAGGAGGTTTCCTAAGTCATGGGTACCCCCAAATCCACAATTACAGCATTTTATATAGTATTGAACCCCCTCTGTATAGGGGGATGAACATACGTACAACTATACAACAGTTATTTTGATGTAAACAGGCAGTGTACAGCAGCGTTGATCCTCAGATCTTGCTTGGTGCTGAGAAAGTGCAAACACCAGGCTTACGAATTGGGGTAAAACCAGCTTACGAATTGATGGTTTCAAACATCTAGGCCCTTTCCATCTTAAAGAAACGGGGCATCGAACCAGTTGGCGAAGCATCCTGGCAACCAGTTGATGGTTGATCCACTAGCAGCTCTGCAGCGTTCAGCAAGGTGGCGTGAAAACCCGCATGTTACATACCCAACATTGACATACGTTTACGAAATCCGAATCTAAGATAATTATAGATAATGATGCTATGTTGTAAGAAGATATTGTCTATAATTATATATCTATAATATTATCTTAGATTTACCTAATATAAGATATGTAGTTATTATAGATATAAGTAAATCTAAGTTGTCGTTGGTGTCAGAACGCCAACGAATTTTCGAACTCGGAGCGGACTGAGGTGGAAGACTCGAAAGCGACGCTGTCATCATGCCATGGCCCTGATGTTGATCAAAAATAGGAACATCATAATAGGTGGTTTCTTAAAATGGGGGATCCCCAAAACCATAGGTTTCAATACTAAAATGGTCTAATGACTGGGAAATATTGGATGATTTGGGGCTCCACTTTAGGAAACATCATATACTACACGTCGCGCTGGTAGAAGCTCGCGTGTGTTTTTGGGGGGTGCATGATCAAATCTCCTGTCTTCTGCAGGGTTTTTGTTTTGTTGGAGTTTGGAAGAGAAAAACGCACTAACTTTTTGAAGGCACAAATCACATGTCGTTTTGCAATGTCATGGCTCGAAGAAGAACATGTTTTGGTTGTGGCCAACATGGCCATCGGATTGAGACGTGTAAATGCCGTGCAGGATACATATACGTATATACATTAATATGTATGATTATATATACTTTGTATATATATATTTACTGTATATACTTATATATATACTTTATATGTAATATATATATATACCTTTATATACATACACTTCTATATACATATATTTATATATTATATATACATATATATATATATTAACATATATATATATATTCATATATATATATGTATGTCGTGGCAGCTTATGCTTCATATGAAAGCATATAAGATTCTAAGATCCACAACATGTTGGTACATCAACATCATTAAAAAAAAAAACACAATATACATAATGGAACCACATCAAGTTGGTTACCTACTATAAAGTCAGTTCATATTAGAGTACACTGGGTCATAGGTTATTTTCTTGACCCGCCTTTGCCATTACATGATCATAATCATCAACATATTTGCTTGCTGCAACATCCCATTTTGTTGCTGTTGCTACAATGAAATAACCCGACATAAAAAAAAGCTGGGGACGTCAACAGCCAACACGGATGGCAAGATGAGCAATGCATGATGGATTGTCATGTGGCGTCATTCAGCCAGCAACGGTTGATCATCCATTCCATCCACTCTGTTGGGGACTATCGGTTGTATTTGGAACCCTGGAAGTTACCCTCTGGTAAACTAACATAGCTATGGAAAATCACCATCTTTAATAGGTAAACCAACGATTTCTATGGGCCATTTTCAACAGCTATGTCAGCCATTACCAGAGGGTAAATTATGAAGGACGTGGGGATGGTTTCTGTAAATCCCATGGCATGACATGGACGATATGGATGCAACAGCTTCAGACGAAAAATTGCCCCCCTCCACCCCCCCAAACCACCAAAGATGCATTTCGTATTGCTGTTTTCAACCGCAAATAACACCTTTTAGTGGGGATATAACCATCAAATATGGGCTTTCAATGGTGATTTAACGGTGATTGAATGGTGATGATGTTTGAATTTTCCCCATTTGGAGATTTCCTACGTCGGGGGGGGGGTACCCAAACTCATCCAAAATTAGATCATTTTAGTGTTAAAACTTGTGGTTTTGGGGAACCCTCATTTTCAGAACCCTCACCATATAGTAATCAATGATGGATTTTCATGGTGGCCAATTGGATTTTCATGGACACGCATCAGCTATAGGAAGTTTTGTGGGGTCTAGACTGTCAAACCTTCCATTTTTTTTCTTGGGGTCGATCGCATCCCACAATAGGGATACCAAATTAGCAAACAGTATACTGGTTGGTGGTTTGGAACATGGCTTTTATTTTTCCATATATTGGGAATAATCATCCCAACTGACTTTCATATTTTTCAGAAGGGTAGGTATACCACCAACCAGTATAGGTGGGATAGGACAATGGTATTTTTCATGGCTCAGAAATGGGGAGGCGAATACCCTGTCGCCAAGTTCGAAAAAGGACGGCGAAGTCACTGCGAAGTTAGGGATATGTTAACCTGTTGAGAAAAATTAGTTTCCTACAGTTGGTTAACATATCCCTAACCTAACTATTGTTGTTTTTTTTTTAATAATTTCTTTTTGCACCAACTGTAGGAGATTCCTGTTGAGAGAAACATTGATCATCATTCCTGGAGTGGATAGTGCTTGGAGTTTTCACGAAACTTGGCCGAGATGCGTTTGGGTGTGAAATGTATCGAATCTATTGGGGGATTACCCTCTGGTAAACGTTTACATAACTATGGAAAATCACGGTTTTTTCATGGGTAAATCCACGATTTCTAAATGGCCATGGCTTCAATAGCTATGTGAAATTACCAGAGAGTAGGAATCCTGTTTTATAATCCGCCGGAATAGTGGAATGACATTTCCTATTTTTTGAACACTGCTCATGTGGATTGTTTGTCGGAACCAACTCGTGTGAATGACTAAAATGTCTCATGCGCAAGCAGCACTTGGGAAGTTGATTCTGGATTACACGCCCCAAAAAATATGAAAGGTCTACACCTGCAAAAGAGGTTATGAAATGTTATGATTTGTCTTGGTTTTTTTTACAGAACCACAATCAAGGAGAACATGTTGTTTCATGTTGTTTCATGTTGTTTCATATTGTTTCATAGTTAAATCAAGACAAGCTCTCCAAAAGCTCTCGACACGTCGAGGTCAAGCCTTCGAAAAGTCCTCTGGGAGTGAAGTAATCCAGGAAGTGCACCATATCAAGGCGCTGTTCGGCTGCGAAGAAGCTGCGAATCCCCAGTCGTCACCACAAAAAATCATGGATGGATGGTCATGGTATGTCATGGTCATCACGACTGGATGATTTATATATATATTTATATGATTTATATGATTTGGGTGTACTGAATTTTATGTGAGTTGTGGCATGGCTTTGAAATCTTTGAAGCTTGATTCTGTACAATGTATTTGGCGAAGTGGTGTGTCAGTTTGTGAATGCTGGAAAGACGCCTTGGGTGCAGGGAGAATTCTAAAACACCTCTGTGTTGGACAGAACTGGGTTGGTAACTGAGATGAGATGAGGTGAAAAAAGCTGAGAAGACATGAGATGAGATGAGATGGGATGACGCAGACTGCGGTGACAATGGGATGCTATGAGCAGTTTCCAAGAGCAGCTGCGATGCGATGAGATCAGATGAAAGGAGAAAAGAGAATTCCCACTCCCATGGAATTTCAAACTGGTGCTAGCTGCAGCAGCGGAGTGAGTTTCAAGAGCTTCAAGAATTTTCAAACGTCGGATTTTGAAACTTGGAGGTTGGATTCTGAAACTTGGGGCTTTGATTGTGAAACTTGGAGCTTCACAGTTTCCTGACCTGTCGTCAGAGTTTCGCAAAACCAGTGTCATAATCTCTCCGCAGACTTCCACAATCTCTCTTCAGAGTTTCACAATACCAGTGTCATAATCTCTCCCCAGAGTTTCACAATCTGTCTTCAGAGTTTCACAATACCAGTTTCACAATCTCTCCCCAGAGTTTCACAATCCGGTTTCAGAATTTCACAATCTCACTTCACAGTTTCACAATCCGAATTTGAAGTTCACAATACCAGTTTCACAATCCGTCCTGCAAGTTTCACAATCCAACCTCCAAGTTTCACAATCCAAGGTGCACAATCCGTTGTGCAAGTTTCACAATCCGACGTTGACCACCTTTGCTCTTTGCGGAGTTTGTTCGAACGCCGCAGGTATATTCCTGTAGGTATTAGACATTTACCCGCTCTGCTTGCTCGCGGCGAGCTAGCGACAAGATGAAGTTACCGATGGTACAGAAGCCGAAGAGCTGTTCAGCACAGATTTTCACTGAAACGCAGCATCTAGCACAAGACGGGTAACAAAAACCAATTCTTTGGAATGAAAGGACAGAACATCTATGGAAAATTGGAGGAAAATCCGAAGAAAATTGACAGAATAGATGTCCCAGTGTGGTGTTCAAACTGCATATGCACATCCGCAGGGAAAGATTGCGTAAAGCAAGAATGTTGGCAGATATGAACTACCTTGGTTATGCAAGCACAAAAGGCTTCAAAAAACGTGAACAAGAGTCGCAAATCTTGAGAAATGCGATGCGACAGGTTTTGAAGCAAAACCCAATGATTTGATTCAGAGATTCACTCTAAGTGATTTATTTCATCCAAGGGATTTGAAATTTAATCCAAAGTGTTTGGAATTTCATCCAAGGGATTTGAAAAAAACATCTAAGGGGCTTTGAAAATTTATCCACCAGGAATGGAGGGATGTTTCACATTAAACTAGACGACGGATGGCCCGAGAGCGTAGACGAGCAAAGTCTTCTGTTGCTAGTATGGAGACACTAAATTACAAGACAATATATTGAAGATGTATTATAGGCAGACGAGAAGAGTAGTTTCAAAACAATATATTACAAGTACAAGACAATTGTTTGCATCGTATCTTTCGTAAAGTTGCAGACAGACGCTTTTACACACAGAACTGTTTACAGACAGACGCTTTTATTATACACAGAGAGGCTTTTACACACAGAGCTTTTACACACAGAGCTTTTACACACAGACGCAAATACACACAGAGACTTTTACACACAAACACGTTTACACACAGACGCTTTTACACACAGACACTTTTACACACCAACACTTTTACACACAAATATTTTTACACACAGACGCTTTTACACACAGACGCTTTTACACACAGAGACTTTTACACACAGACGCTTTTACACACAGACGCTTTTACACACAGACGCTTTTACACACAGACGCTTTTACACACAAACACTTTTACACACAAACACTTTTACACACAGAGACTTTTACACACAGAAGCTTTTACACACAGACGCTTTTACATACAAACCCTTTTCCACACAAACACTTTTACACACAAACACTTTTACACACAAACACTCTTACACACAGGAGCTTTTACACACAGACGCTTCTACAGACAGAGACTTTTACACACAAACGCTTTTACACACAGACGCTTTTACACAGAGACCCTTTTACATACAGACGATTTTACACACAGACGCTTTTACACACAGACGCTTTTACACACAAACGCTTTTACACACAAACGCTTTTACACACAGAGACTTTTACACGCAGACGCTTTTACACACAGAAGCTTTTACACACAGAGACTTTTACACGCAGACGCTTTTACACACAGACGCTTTTACACACAGACGCTTTTACACACAGACGCTTTTACACACAGACGCTTTTACACGCAGAAGCTTTTACACACAAACACTTTTACACACAGACGCTTTACACACAGACGCTTTTGCACACAGACGCTTTTACATTCAGACGCTTTTACACACAGACGCTTTTACACACAGAGGCTTTTACACTCAGAAGCTTTTACACGCAGAAGCTTTTACACACAGACACTTTTACACACAGACGCTTTACACACAGACCCTTTTACACACAGACGCTTTACACACAGACCCTTTTACATACAGACTCTTTTACACACAGACGCTTTTACACACAGATGCTTTTGCACACAGAGACTTTTACACACAGGCGCTTTTACACACAGACGCTTTTACACACAGACGCTTTCACACACAGCCGCTTTGACACACAGACACTTTTACACACAGAAGCTTTTACACACAGACGCTTTTACACACAGAAGCTTTTAGACACAGACGCTTTTACACACAAACACTTTTACACACAAACACTTTTACACACAGACGCTTTTACACACAGTCGCTTTTACATACAGACACTTTCACACACAGCCGCTTTGACACACAGACACTTTTACACACAGACGCTTTTACACACAGACGCTTTTACACACAGACGCTTTTTCACACAGCGCTTTCACACACAGAGGCTTTTACACACAGAAGCTTTTACACACAGAGGCTTTTACACACAGAAGCTTTTACACACAGGCGCTTTTACACACAGACGCTTTACACACAGACGCTTTTACACACAGACGCTTTTACACACAGACACTTTTACACACAACACTTTCACACACAGAGGCTTTTACACACAGAAGCTTTTACACACAGAGGCTTTTACACACAGAAGCTTTTACACACAGGCGCTTTTACACACAGACGCTTTTACACACAGACTTTTACACACAGACGCTTTTACACACAGACACTTTTACACACAGACGCTTTTACACACAGACTCCTTTACACACAGACGCTTTTACACACAGACGCTTTTACACACAGACGCTTTTACACACAGACGCTTTTTACACACAGGCTTTTACACACAGACGCTTTTACACACAGAAGCTTTTACACACAGCTTTTAGCTTTTACACAAGCTTTTACACACAGACGCTTTTACACACAGACGCTTTTACACACAGACGCTTTTACACACAGACGCTTTTACACACAGACGCTTTTACACACAGAAGCTTTTACACACAGACTCCTTTACACACAGACTTTTACACACAGAAGCTTTTACACACAGTAAAATTGCAATTTTTTGCCAGTTTTTGACGTCCAACGTCCATTTCGTGCGTAAGGGTTGCGCGGGACTACTCAAAGTCGCAATTTTTCCTAGTTTTTGACGTCCACGTCCATTTCGTGCGTAAGGGTTGCGATTGACAACTCAAAATCGCAATTTTTCCTCAATTTTTGACGGCCAACGTCCATTTCGTGCGTAAGGGTTGCGCGGGACACTTCAAAGTCGCAATTTTTCCTCAGTTTTTAACGTCCAACGTCCATTTCGTGCGTAAGGGTTGCGATTGACAACTCAAAGTCGCAATTTTTCCTCAGTTTTTGACGTCCAACGTCCATTTCGTGCGAAAGGGTTGCGCGGGACTAAGTAAACTCGCAATTTTTCCTCAGTTTTTGACGTCCAACGTCCATTTCGTGCGAAAGGGTTGCGCGCGACGCTTCAAAGTCGCAACTTTTCCTCAGTTTTTGGCGTCCAACGTCCATTTCGTGCGAAAGGGTTGCGATGGACAAAGTAAAATCGCAATTTTACCTCAGTTTTTGGCGTCCAACGTCCATTTCGTGCGAAAGGGTTGCGTTTCGTGGCGCTCCGGCGGCACCGCCCCCGCCTTAAGAGAGGATAGAAGAAGAGCGAGAGGAGATCTGCAGATGTGAGGGTGTGAAGATGTAGATCTGCAGATGTGAAGGTGTGAAGATCTAGATCTGCAGGTGTGAGGGTGTGAAGATCTAGATCTGCAGGTGTGAAAGTGTGAAGATCTAGATCTGCAGATGTGAGGGTGTGAAGATGTAGATCTGCAGGTGTGAAGGTGTGAAGATCTAGATCTGCAGGTGTGAAGGTGTGAAGATCTAGATCTGCAGATGTGAGGATGTGAAAATCTAGATCTGCAGATGTGAGGATGTGAAAATCTAGATCTGCAGGTGTGAGGGTGTGAAGATCTAGATCTGCAGGTGTGAAGGTGTGAAGATCTAGATCTGCAGGTGTGAGGGTGTGAAGATCTAGATCTGCAGGTGTGAGGGGGTGAAGATCTAGATCTGCAGGTGTGAGGGTAAGAAGATCTAGATCTGCAGATGTGAAGGAGTGAAGATCTAGATCTGCAGATGTGAAGGAGTGAAGATCTAGATCAGCAGATGTGAAGGAGTGAAGATCTAGATCAGCAGATGTGAAGGAGTGAAGATCTAGTATAACGGCTGCTTTTTTACGAAGAACCCTTCGCAGGCGCTCTCGGGAAAAAACTAGTGAAGCAACCCCTTGCAAAATTTCACATCCTTTTCCCGTCCTTGCCCCCTTTTTTGTTGCGGAAATATCAGGTGCAAAATCTCATCATGTCCCTCTTCTGCTCGGCCTTCCGAGCCAGGAAGAGGGGGCAGCGGATGCCATCATTCTGCACGACCCAGCGGGGCAGAATCTCTTCGTGGTGAATCAGGCGACGTCGTTTCGACCTGGAGCTTCTCGAAACGGTGAAACCGCTTGGATCGCGCTGGTATGATGATTCCAATGACGATAATCATGGGACTCGGGACTTTCGTGCATATATCCTTTGTCATCAAATCTGGCTTCCCAGGATGAGTTCGACGGTTTCCCAGCACACCTCCATTTTCAAATTTTGGCTGGCTGGAAAATCCCCGATTTACAATGGATGTTTTCCCAGCTATAAACCTCCATCAAAAAAGATAATTTTCAATTGCCATGTTTGAGTACCGGAAAACATCATATAAATATTTCCAGAGATTTTCAGCAAGGGCGAAGTAGTGAATCAACTCCCAATTTCTCGCAGCAAACTGTGAGTTTGTGTTCAGCTTCGCCTTTTGCCTGTAATTTCGGTGTTTTTTCTGGTTTAGCTTGTGGTTTGCTGACCTTCCCCGCTGAAATTACAACGACGTAAATCCATCTAAATCCAATAGTAACCTATCCCCAGTCAGGGATTGGCGAATTCTACCACCCGTTAGTGCTGCAAATTGGCAAAGTCACAAGGTCCACGCATTCCAGGGCAATGGCCAGTTCATCAACCCAATTTCCAAAAATGAACCAGTGGTTTACCGTTTTACCTTTGCCAGGCACCTGTGGGTGGCATGGCCAAGACCATGCGTTCCATTCTTCCTGGCACCGACAAGGCGACACGTGTGAGGGTCAACATGGCTGGTAGTTGATCTGGTTCGAAAAATGAGGGCCTGCATAGTCATGGGGGTATCCAAAATGGTTGGAAATGGACGAGAACTCGGGGTACCCCTATTCCAGGAAACCACCATATAGGTTAGAAATAGGGATCATGGGAAAAGGTCATATGCGAATATTCAATGATATCAATGATATATCAATGGATATATGATATATTCATCTCTGATGAAAAACACGACAAGCTTGAAAATGCCTGAACTAAATGGTTTTTTTAGCTGGGAAAATGATGGCTTATACCATCCATTGTCAAATTGGATGAAATTGGCTTTACCACATGACCATCATTCAGGTATTAAATGGTGCTTCTTGGGATTCCATTGGCTTATCAATGGTTACCCTGGCACCCTGGGTACCCTAAAATAGCTGGTTTAGCTGGATGTTTATTTCCCATTCATATGGTAATATGGTAACAATAGGTTTTGACCCATCCCCATATATATATATATATCCAATTTCAATTGGGTATCTAATCATAAACCAGCCATTCTGGGGTACCGTATTTTAGGAAACCTCCATAGATATCCCATCAAATGGCCATTGGGGAGGGCATACTCAATTTTCAGACGCACCCATCCGTTCGGACAAGAATCATCAAAAATCCTCTATACATGGGCCATTTTCCATAGCTGTGTCAAATAACCAAGGAGGTTGTATATATATATATAGTATAAATACATATACATATTACATATATACGTATATATATATATTATAATTATAATCATATATATATACATATGAATGGATAGAACGGCTCCCATTGGTTGATGTCATGGAGACTCCAAATGGAGATGTGAATTCATATTCACTGGGATTCAATCCCCTTTCTATAGCCATTAGATAAATTATGCAATGTGAGAATTTCACCAATGAACAGTGGGGAACTCTAAGTATCATGGCCTCTCAATTTACGGCCATATTGAAAATAGGGAACATGATAAACACCAAAGAATATCAAGGAATTTTGTTCGACACACATTGGCAACCAGTCTGATTGTACTCCGCAAATGAGGAACATCTCGAAGAAATATAGAGGGGAACATATGAGTTGTTGCAAGCCCATGCAGATACCTTTTCGAATGGGCTGTAGATATTTGACCAGCGTTCCCGTTGGATTTGTTGCTGGGCGTTTTCCGGATTGACTCGCACACTCCATGTCTTTTGGCCGTTTTTGACTTACAAACATGGGGAGACATAGGGATATGAGCCAACAACAATGTGAATTGTTCAACTGGATCGTTTTCTGCACCGCGGTTGGTGAAAGGTGGATTTTCATGGATGAATTTCTGCCCTTGAATATGCACTTCAGTAGTCCATATTCCACTCGAAACTTGTTACATGACTAATTAAGACTAATTACAGTAAGTCATAATATATCCCTTGAACAATTTTGAAACATACCCTCTGGTAAACTAACATAGCTATGGAAAATCACTATGTTCAATGGGAAAATCCATTATAAATGGCAATTTTCAATAGCTTTTTGTATGTTTACCAGTGGGTAGCCTCCGGTAATCAGCTCCATGGTTTGCTGGAAACTCCCAGAATTTCGTCTGATTTACCCAGCTCCAAGTTCTCCACTTGACGCTAGGGTTGTACGATTGATCTCCCAATTACCCCATGAATTTCCAATGATAAAAGTGATAAATCTCTCGTGACTCAAGAGTGTTGAAGTGTTGATGGCTCTGGTGTTGATGCTAGTTCACCTTCAACAAAAACCTTCCCATGAGCCGATGATGAATGTCCCATTTAATTAGTGAATCTAGTGTTTTTCTGGTACTTCACCTTCAAAAAGTCATAACTCATCATAAATCACATGGGAATATTTAGTAATTCATGGTAGTTGATGGTAGATCTGATGATGCTACAAGGTGGTGCCCCCTAGTTATAAGTTGATTTATAATCCCATTAACTGTAGATATATCTACCATAAGTCCTACAAAAATTAGAGTTATAAACCAACTGAACGCTATCGAACGGGGGCACCATATTGTAGTTCACTTTCACATCTTTACGGCGTAAATGGCTTCTTTTTGATGGGTGAAAAATGCGAGGTCTCCAATGCTCTGGCGCTTCTGGGGCTCACCTATCCCATTGCCGAAGGCACGGTCATTGGTGCGGTTTACGAAAGCCGTTACTAGGACCTATAGGAATCATACACTAACTGTTACGGATATGATTCCTATATGATTCCTAAGATACTATAGGTAATAGTACTATTATAGGTTTCTATTATAGGTTTTTGTTATGGGTTATTCAGGAGGTACCGGAGACCGCAGGAGATACTACTGTATTACCTATAATAGGGATAGTTATCAACCAGTGCAGCAGGATGGGATAGGGGTATTGTTCATTTTTCATATGGAGGAATATTCGCCGTCTTTGCGTCCGGTCAAAACACGGTTCATTTTCCCATAGGGGATGGGTCATCAATCGATATGGATCGATTTTTCTAGGGATTTGTATAGCCAAGACACTGGTTACGGTTAGTGGTTTCAAACTTTTTTTTATTTTACATTTCATACATGGGATGTCATCCTTCCCAGTGACGAAGTCATATTTTTCAAGCTGGTTATTGCACCACCAACCAGATGATAAACATTCCACTTGTGAGACGGATGACCACAAACCATCTGCCATATTTTCACCCTAGCACATATATTCAGCTACACGTGGGTTGCGCTTCGAAAGCAAGGCTTCCCAGGCTTGTCGCTTTGTCGACGTCATGGTAAGCCGGTTGAATCATTGCCCCAAACACGTGATGTGGTAAGCCAGTAAGCCCAGTCACATCAGGCCCAAGTCTTGAAGCTGTGTATTCCAGGCCATGGTTTCTGGAAGTGGCCATAGTCTGCTATTGTTTGTTTACGCATTAATACAAGTTTTTTGATGGCCTCAAATCCCATGGTTGATCATCAAATTACCCACAAAGCCAGAAAGGGCGAGGTTGGTTGTTCATCCATTTATTCCCTGCTATCTCCCCAATATTCTACCATGTCCTATCCCCATTATAGATCATTATAGTCCATTCATATTCCCATATTGTACCCAATCAACCACTGGTTCACTGGTGGTTTGGGCTGGTGGTTCAGAGTGATTTGGAATTCTAGGATGACCCTGAAGGGGATTATCACTATGGGAATATCCGCACAAATCGAAACCACCAACCCAAACCACTGGTTAACCATTGGTTGGAGCCATGTACTCTCGTTTTTACCCTCCGGTAATGATTCATCCATTCCCAAAAAAACATCATTCGCCATGTGTTGATGACACGTCCTGCCACGGCTTCAGGTCAGGCAGGTGGTGTGCCGCGGCGCAGTGAACCTCTGCAGGAGCTGTTTGATAACAATTGCCATTTTGAAATATTTTGAAGAGATAGATATATATATATAATATATGTATGGAGGTTTCCTATAATGGTGTACCCAAACATATTTTGATAAGATATCCTGAACTGTATGACATTTTGAAATGGAGTACCCAAATCGAGATATATCCGTATTCTTTTTTAAACGGATAGACTGACAGTTTTCTAAAACTGGGATATATGGAGGTTTTTGACATTTTAAAATTGGGTACCCAAATCGAGATATATCCGTATTCTTTTTTTAACGGATAGACAGTTTTTTAAAACTTGGATATATGGAGGTTTCCTAAAATGTTGTACCCAAACATATTTTGATGAGATATCCTAAACTGTATGACATTTTAAAATGGGGTACTCAAATCGAGATATCCGTAGGTTTTTTTTTTTAACGGATAGACAGTTTTTTAAACTGGGATATATGGAGGTTTCCTAAAATGGGGTACCAAAAAATGGATGGTTGATGATCAGAAACCTAATTGAAATAACATATTATGTATATGTATATATATATATATATACATATGGATCAGTTCCTATCAATACCGTATAAATACCGTTTATAGGGTACGTGCCAGGCTTTTGACATACATGTATATACCCTCTGGTAATTTAAGATAGTTATGGAAAATGATCCATTTATAGTTAATTTACCTATAATAACAAATGGTGATTTTCCATAGCTATGTTAGTTACAGAGGGCAGTAAATGGATAAATCTGCTATGAACGGGACAGCAAATGGGATAGCAGAAAAGGGATTCAGCGGACTATTTATGTTATGGGTATATAATTGGATCTAATACGAGATGTGAAACTGACAATAATAAAAGGGTTTGTCCAAAAATGAGGCCTCAAGATGGCAATGTTGATGGTGAAAATACGGGTAAAATGATGATCAACCATGGCGTGGAATGTTTTTTTCCGCCAATCTTCAGAAGCCAAATAAGCTTTTGGCTACCCTGGCGATGGGAAACGAATGAGCGTGGCGAACAGTGTGGCCATGGCGATTCTCCACACTCAACGGTCGGACTTTACTTGGATGGTCGTGGTACTCAAAAATTCTAGGTGAGGATTATAGGATTATTCTCCACTAGCAATGGGCGTTGGGGGATAGTACTTCATAGTGCTTCCATATTCGCTGGAAGTACTATCCAATATTAATTATAGTCCCCATTATACAATATTATCCAATATTTTCCAATATTATCCCAATAGCAGTACTATCCATATTCACTGATGGGAGATCCATGTTATCCATATTATCCAATATTATCAATATTATTGACCATCCATATGATCCACTTATTCTACCTTTCAGCAGTACTGTCACCAGATTGACAAGTCCTGGGTGATGAAAACCGGGGTGTCCATCCCTCAGGTGAGTGCTAAAAAACATCAGTTTTTTTGTCGGGAAAATGGCTGCTATTGTAAATAGCTAAAAATTGGTGGCAAATAAAAAAGGACCATGTGCACATGATTGTCATTTAAATGTCCATTTTCCCATGTATAGATCATTTAAAGTAGTTTAAAATCATTTGAAATCATTGAATCACTTCGAATTGTGGATACAGAGGGGTACGGCTTGCCGTGTTGAAGTTACTAAGGTGGTGAGGTTCTACTCACATTTTCTCGGGGCCTCTGTCTCGAAGACGAAGCAGGCGGGAGTTTTTTTGGGCGTGTTCAGCGTCTGGGTGGAAGAGCTGGAGATAATTTTGAGATCATTGGGATATCTGGGAGATCCACTATATAATCTGGGTAAATTTCATCACGACCTCACTGTTCTCCCGAAGCCTGGAATCATGGTTAGTAAGGGAAATCATCCCCAAATGGCCGCAAGATTCAGGGACACAAGGCTCAAAACTTGCCCGTAGTGTGATCTGCCACGCTTGCAGCGTGCCAATTTGGGCCACGCCACCATTTTCAGTGCCATGGATGAGACTGAATCTTTCTCTGGTTGGAAAACGCTACTTAGAGACATGGAAATTACAGGATCTCCCAATGCATGTTTGGAAAAGTACATGAGGGGACGCCCAAACCTCCTTCTGGGCCAATTTGAGCAAGTGCATTCATCAGATTTTTGGACTGCAACCACATATGCTCCAAGTGGAGTCTCAGCCAATGCGGTGATGCATGATTTCCTTAGCTGGTCAGATGAACATGAAATTGGTGCAGTCACGGTTCTCTGGAGCCTTCGCAAACATGTGCCCAAACCGGATGTGCAATATTGGTGTCTGCATACCATGAATCCAGAAGTTCACACAACCTTGTGGGATTATGCAGTTGATGATGAGACGCTTGTGATTCCTGTTCAAAGAGGGTTTCAGGCATCAGAAGGTATCAAGGTCCTGTCACTGTTTGGGGGAGGCTTTGGGGGATGGAGTTATGCCATGAAACATTTGTCCAAGACCAAGCATCTTTCATGCACATCGATTGCAGTTGAATCGGATTTGCTTGCCTGTGCCAATTATGCCATCAATCATAGGGTACCCATCCTAAATGGTTTTGAGAATCTTCCAGTGAATGCTTTTCATGATTTGACATACGGAGGAGTCGTACATGCCAGCGCGGTTTCATATAACTGGATGGATGCAGCATCAGCGTGGCATCCGAACATCATTACCATTTCCTCTCCATGTCAGCAGTGGTCAGGAGCAGGACATGGAAAGGGATTGTACAGCATGGAAGGCCTCCTTTTGCCAGAATCGATTTGTATGTCAAGATTCCTGCAACCTGAGTTCATCGCCGTAGAACAAGTTAGCGGTTTTGCATGTCATGACCACAAACAAAGTGATGCAAACCATTTCCATGTGTGGATATCAGGTGGTTTGGTCACGCACTGTTGACCTTGCATGGTTTGGACCCCTCAATCGTAGCAGATGGTTGGCACTTTTGCAAAGGGTGGTTGACATGCCTCCAGTGGATGCGCCCGTGTTGCATTTTCCCACTATGAGTAACTGGATACCAAACAACTATGATGCTCTTTTCCCATTCGATGATGGTTTGGATACTCAATTGCTCATTTCTCCACAAATGCGTGCCGTTGTTCATGACGTCAGGTATCTGCCAGCAGCAAAACGAGTGAAACTTGGCACCCAGAACGCCATGACACAACGCACACATGATGGGTCTCAGAAGTTTCCTGTCTTCATGGCGACATATGGTGTCCAGCACACTCTGCCAGAACATTTACTGCAGGAAAAGGGGTGCATGGCTCATTTCTATGCGGATCCCCAACATGGAGCCAGATTGCTGCATCCGCATGAAATGGCTCTACTGCATGGAGTCTCCGAATCCTTTTTTGCATTCAATGATTTTCGTTCAAGCTGGAAGCACCTGGGAAATCAAATTGCGGTGCAACATGCGTTGATTCCTCTCACCATGGCATGCATGACGTTTGACATTCCAGGCGACAAGGTTACTGTTTCAGAAGCCTTACAAACCTGGGAAGAACACAGACTAAAGGCGTCACAGGTTGTGGTAGAAAGTGGAAAAGCTGGAACCCTCATGCGACATGAGGAAGCTTGTTGCGACCTTACCAATGTGCAACATGAACATATCCATGATTTGGTCGTCAATTGGTCTAAAGGGGTCATGCCTTCTCATGTGTGGTGGGATGTCAATGGTTTTCATGAGTTTACCACGGAAGTCCATTCCCATTCTGAGGGTAATACCATGATTGAAGGACACCAGTGTAGCTTGCCAGCCGTTGCAAATCCACATGACCATGACATTGGTCCTATCAGGTCAGCGATCCCCACAGTGGACACATCCGAATGTACAGATGTCGTACATACCAAGGACACTGTAGTTTTGCCAGGTGACGTCATGATGCCAAAAGCAGCCGATCTTGCATCCGAAGCCACTACATCCAGTGAATGCATCCGTGCCCGTGAGGTCCATGTCATGTCTGGTCCAAACCAAGTGTCCCGATCACCTGTCTTTACATGTGTCGACAGTCCAGTGTCTGTTTTGTCCCCACCATGCAGTAATCAGGACTGTCCCATGCACGACGGTGAACAGTGCCAGTCACAGTCGCTCACCGAAATGTCTGGGCATCACCAGAATACGGCCACACCTGTTTTACCAGAAGCAGCCACACCCGCAGACGCAGCTCTTGCCCTTTCCACTGAGCCTACTGTCTGTTCAGGTGCCGAAAAACCGGAGACCGCAGCCATTTCTGCATCCGAAGCAACCGCACTCAATGAAAGCAGCCATGTTCCCGAGTCCCATGCCATGTCAGGTTCATTACATGTGTCCATGTCGCCTGTCACGCCAGCGGAACATAGTCCGGAGTCTGTCTTGTCCCTGCCATGCTGTCCCACTGTCCCGGCAGTAATCAAGCTTGGTAACCAAGAACACAATTTTTGGATTGCAGCGGATGTCGTAGGACACCAGTGTAGCTTGCCAGCCGTTGCAAATCCACATGACCATGACATTGGTCCTATCAGGTCAGCGATCCCCACAGTGGACACATCCGAATGTACAGATGTCGTACATACCAAGGACACTGTAGTTTTGCCAGGTGACGTCATGATGCCAAAAGCAGCCGATCTTGCATCCGAAGCCACTACATCCAGTGAATGCATCCGTGCCCGTGAGGTCCATGTCATGTCTGGTCCAAACCAAGTGTCCCGATCACCTGTCTTTACATGTGTCGACAGTCCAGTGTCTGTTTTGCCCCCACCATGCAGTAATCAGGACTGTCCCATGCACGACGGTGAACAGTGCCAGTCACAGTCGCTCACCGAAATGTCTGGGCATCACCAGAATACGGCCACACCTGTTTTACCAGAAGCAGCCACACCCGCAGACGCAGCTGTTGCCCTTTCCACTGAGCCTACTGTCTGTTCAGGTGCCGAAAAACCGGAGACCGCAGCCATTTCTGCATCCGAAGCAACCGCACTCAATGAAAGCAGCCATGTTCCCGAGTCCCATGCCATGTCAGGTTCATTACATGTGTCCATGTCGCCTGTCACGCCAGCGGAACATAGTCCGGAGTCTGTCTTGTCCCTGCCATGCTGTCCCACTGTCCCGGCAGTAATCAAGCTTGGTAACCAAGAACACAATTTTTGGATTGCAGCGGATGTCGCACCGCAGGATTTATCAGCACTATGGCATGGTAACTTGACCACACAGCACACAGATACAGCGGTGTACATCACACCAGATGCCAATGCAGGATCAGTCACACTGGATCACAACATGCTCGTCACAATGATGGACAACCAGCTTACCGTTTTTGCATTCGAAGGCACAGATCTCAAATCCTTTTGCAAAGACAGATGCGACCGACAGGTTCTCTACGACCAATATGGTCGCATTGCCAAGGACCAGAAATTCCATGACGAGCTGCTGATCACTCCATTTCCGCAGAAACATTGCCAATCATGCAAAGATGCGCTCACCCTTTTGGCAGCGTGTCACAATTGCGTCATCACAATGCAATATGTGCAGCCAATTGACACAATTGTGGTGTCATTTTCCGGTGAACAGGAATCCAGAAAGATCATGGCAGAGCTTTATGCAGGGGCCATTCACCAAGACACACTTGATGATTTGAATCGCACATGCTATGTTACCCATGACCCTGTGATGCCCACTACACAGGTGCATTTTGCCCCAGCCGACACAGGGCTGCCAGTGCCTCCAGCTGTAATCCCCAGAGTTCTAGCCATTGCACTGACACGACGCATGATGGACACCCTCATGACCACCGACGGAATGCTCATGCAACTCAAATGGGAATCCAGACCGTTGTGGTTTGGAAGAATTGACCAGTATGCCACCGCGGAAGTGGTCAATGCCATCCTTCAGCAATCCATGGCACCCATGTGTAAACTGAAAGAAACCAGGCTGGTACACCGGGGAAAGCAATTTGCCTCGGGGTTTTTCCACACATGCAAACAAGAGAATGCAGAGGATATCATCTACACTTTCCTGATCGCTCTGGAAATGTCAGGAGGGGCGGGACCAGCAGCCACCAAGACGCAACTACGTCAGCAAGTTCGCAATGGAGTAGCTGCATGGCTTCTGGAATCAGGCATTGAGCTCACATGGACACATGACAACATCGAGAAAATCCTGGATGATGTAGGCATCAAGAAGTTAGTGCCCATTGTTGCGCAGCCAGCATCCCAACGCCGTGACAGCCAGCTGCATCAAGCTCTCATTGATGCCTCCATTCAGCTTCCAAAGACACAGCCGAAGGTGAACAACTCACCGCAGATCCTCAAGGCCAAATCCAAAAGACGTGCCCTGCCAAGCTTGGACCCCAGTGACTTCAAGGTGGACTGCACGTACCTTCTGCATGAAGATGGACAGCCAACAACCCAGATATCCGAATTCCGAGCCAACAAACAAGGAGTGTACATGACTGATCCCGCAGGTGCACTGCCCTGGCTTCGGGAGAACCAACAGTTATCCACAGATGAACTTGGAATGCTGGTGTTAGGCCCTTTGCCAACCGACACCTCGCTGCCAACGCAAGAGATAGTTATCCCATGCTACAACTCAGATGCCAATCAGGTGTTGCTTCAACTGACGCTAGTGCAGTTTGGATCCAAGCATCTCAAGATGAAAGATTGGGATAAGACACCCATGAAAGCAGCAACTAGCAAGGTCATTTCGATCACTTTGTGGCGACAGGACTGGTCTAGTGAAGAATGGGAGGCAGCACTGCAACATACCACACAATTTGTCAAAGATGTCATGGTCACTGAGGGGCTGCAAACGGCCATCACAAGTTGCTGGGGACGTTCGCTTCGAAAGGGACGACAACCTGCCACCAACAAAGATGCCACTAGCATACAAATCCATGCAGCAATCGCCGATGATCAGTTTCTGCCAGTCCTCAAACTCAGTGGACACAACAAATTGTGGATGGCACCGAAAGGTGCAGATGGCAAACTGACGGATGATTTCAAAGTCCTGTGGATGGACAACGCATGTGATATCCAAAAAGCCTCGGCGCTGACAGCCAAACTCAACGGAGTAGCAGGCCTTGTGAGGGGAAAAACATCCATGGGAGTACGGATCCAAGCAGGCCACTTCGAACAGGCATGGAAATCCTTGCATCCGAATCTGCCGATGCCAGTGGATGTATCCAACAAGTTGATTTTCAAGCTGGAGCCCCTTCCATATGGGTGCAATCATGCAATGCTGCTGGAATGGAGCAATCATGTTGCTTGGAAATTTCGCCCGATCAAAGCAACTGGGCCCAAAAGCTGGATTGTATGTGCAGGTGATAGCCCCCCTGTGGGCTTGCTAGCGTTCAATGGGCACCCTGTGCTACCACGACTTTTGCCACAGCGACAGGACAGCAAACAGCAGCCCATTATTGCGGGTCCAAGAAAATCGGCACTCCCTTCAACACCAGCTGCAGCAATGAGCTCAGATCCTTGGGCAACATACATCAAGTCACAAGGCAGGCAGGTCACAGCATTGATGCCACCACCAGCACCACCCCAACAGGGTCTGATTGAACAAAGATTGACCCAGCAAGATGAAAAAGTTGCAGCTTTGGAGCACAAGCTCGAGGCCATGCAAGGTGCTCAAAACAAACAAGCAGAATCTATTCAGCAAGTGCAGCAGGAAATCGCAATGACAGAACAGCGCCTTGCCAAAACCATGTTCCAGACCATGGACCAAATGAAAAACGAGTTGAATCAGACATTTGGTGATGCGTTAACTGCCCAAAACAAGTCATTCGAAGCCAACCTGCTAGCCTTGCAGAAGGCGATCACAACCACAAAGCGCAAAGACCGGCCAAAGGAGCAGGAAGACATGTCCGACTCCTGAAAAATGGTCACACCAGAGCATTTAATTCAATTTGCACACAAGCCTGGCCTGGAGGATGCTCCTTGTATGTTGGTTTTGTACATTCCGCTCAACAGCAAAGCATCTGTCGGTCAATTTATCAGGTTGCAATTTTGCCGCCCTTATGAGATCACTGTCACTAGGACACAGTGTGACGTCCTATGGATGCTAAGTTTTCGTCCATATAATCCATGTATAGGACACCATGCCATGTGTTGCCATTTTGCGGTGTCACATCAAGCCTTGCCTACTCACGTAGGCAGAGTAATCCCGTTGACATTGTTCCGACTTTCGACCCAATGCCATCAGTTCACTCCAATGCTGGGGTGTGCAGGACGTATTGGTGAAGCAAAAAATCCAGGGCCAAACGGTATCCCTTCATGTCTTCTCAATATGATCGTTGCTAATCCGACCAGTGTTGCAAATAAAAAAGTAACATTCCAGCAGTTGTTTGAAGCCGTTGATGCACAAGTCCTTTGCCTTGCGGAAACATCAGCAACAGCAGAAGTCCAAAAAACTGTGTCAAAAGAAATGTCCGTCCAACAGTGCAAGTGTTTTTGGAGCCAGCCAGTGCCACCCCAAAGAATATGCCAAAATGGAGAACCCAGTGTCCGCGGCCGAGCAGGGGGCACAGCAGTCATATCCAAGATACCCATGCGATACTGCAAAAATCCTTTACCTGATGCATGGCAAACCTCCAATCGTTTGGTTCACACCATCACCCAATTTGGACACACGCATATCCAAGTAATGGTTGTGTATAGTATCCCCCAAAATCATGCCGGAGCTAAGGAGTTCCTGAACCAACTTCTCGATGCCGCTCTCACCCAAGTCATGATGGTGCCCCTCCCATACATCATTTGTGGTGATTTCAACATGGAACTTGAAGGACTCCCGATATGGCAGGAGTTCTTGGCCAAAGGTTGTAAAGACTTGATAGGACTGCATGATATAAGATATGGTAAACCGATGCCACCGACATGTCAAGGATCCACGCGTCCAGACAATGCAATCCTTTCACATCATCTCATTTCTACCCTTGGCCATATTCAGGTGCTTTCGGATACATGGTTTGCCACACATGCACCGGTGATGTTTTCTTTGCAATTGCCTAAACCAGACCTATTCCGCCAGAAAATAAAACTGCCTGAAAGCTGGGTGGCACTTGACATCACTGCAGAGGAACTGACACAAGCAGCACGACAAGTCAACGACTTGCCACAAACACTGGAGGAATGGGGGCATCATGTTGAACAACTTGTAGATGTTGCTGTCCGTGATCACCACCAAACAACGGGAATTGGATTGCCACACTTGCCAAAACGTTTCCGTGGCAGATGTCAGCCCCGTAAAATTGTCAATGTACCAGTCTATAGTGCAACTAAGACTGCAAGATGTGGTGAGTACAATCCCTTGTTTGAAGTTTCTACGATGCGTACCAAACGACGTGTCAAACAAATGCGTCGGCTTCAGTCACTGTATCGCCGTATGGGGAAGCATGACAGTCTGCAGACAGATCATCCAAAGCACCAACAGATGGTTGAGGAATGGACAGCCATTCTCAGATGCACCAGCTTTGGTATGCCTTTTTGCAGATGGGTGCAATGCCAACCCGAACTTGGACCAGCCCCTTGGCCACTTCCCAGTCAGGCCTGGCTAGCGCAAGCATGCCAATATGTTAAACATATAGTGAACATCAATGTAGCCGAAGATCAGCAAACATTCCGCCACAAAGTGGACTATGCCAGATCCTGTGACAAAAAATTTCATAGTTCTTCCATGGCATTTCGTACCATTAAAGAAGCCCCTCCGTTACCAATCACGGAAGTGTATATTCCTACTCAGGTACAAGTGCATTTGACCTGGCAGAATGACAATGTTGTCACGTGTTCCAACTTCGATCCAGAAGTGGTGTGTACAGGGTCTCCAGTGCGCATTGATAATTCACTCGGGTGGATAACTGCCAAAGATGAAACCACAATCCGTGTACAGTTTCACACAAGCCCAGCTGAAAAACCTGCAGTTGCCAAACTGACTCAAGAACAATACCGCATTGAGCCCCACCAAGTTGCGGAACAACTCACACAATTTTGGCAACCACTGTGGCAAGCACCCCATGATATCCAGCCGGAGGATTCTTGGCAAGCTTTCCAGACTTACCTTGATTTGCTACCGAAGCCGCCCAAGGCGTTTGTTGCAGATAACTCCCTTGATGCATGGTTAATTGCCATTAGGAAACTCAAAACGAGTTCTGCAAAAGGACATGATGCCATCACAGCCCAGGAACTCAAGCTTTTACCAGCTGCCACCATTGATCTCTTGCGCAGAGTGTGTGATCAATACTCGGATGGGTTCCCAGCGTGGTTGATGACAGCTAGGGTGTGTCCTCTTAACAAAACCCAGGGAACCCCCATGGCCAGTCAAAGCAGACCCATTTGCATTCTCAGTCAAAGCTATAGGGTGTATTCCGCAGTGTGGTGCTCACAAGTTTTGAAGTTTTGGGGCACGTGGTTTCCTCCCTCAATTTGTGGTATGTTGCCAATGAGAGGCTCTCACAATGCGGGTTATGGGGCACAGGTGCAACTTGAAAAGGCCATCCTTTCTAAGCAGCCTATTTCTGGAATCACTCTGGACCTTATGAAATGCTTTAACTGCATTCGCCAAGAAGCCGGATGACGTGCTCTGCTAGCCCTAGGACTTCCCAAGGAACATGTCCATCAGTGGTATCATAGCATTCAGAAGTTGCAAAGATACTGGGAAATTGATTCTAGCAGCCATGGGCCCGTTCTGGCCACATGTGGATTTCCAGAGGGCGACTCGCACTCCGTGCTTGTCATGCTAGCCATCGCTCTGACTTGGAATGCCAGCCTCCAGGCTTTGCTTTTGCCAACATTGCAAAGCACCTCATATGCGGATAACTGGTCTTGGTCCACAACACATCCACAACACCATGGAGCGATTGCCACAAGGACACTTGAGTTTACTGCACTCTGTGGACTCAGAATAGACTGGAACAAAACCTGGTTGTGGGCCACTGAAAATGCCGTGGCTGCTGAGGCACAAGACGTACTGTATGAAGCATTGCCAAATGAAGCTATTCAACGCCTTCACCATGCGAGGGACCTGGGCTTTGAATTGCAGTACTCCGGTCCTCACAGGCTTGGCCATCGAAAAACCCGTATTGACAAAGGCATCCAACGCTTGGAAAAACTACAGATCATGACATATGAACTTGATGTCAAAGAAAAGATGCTTTTTTCCAGCATCTACCCTGCGGCATTTTACGGGTCTGAACTATTTCCAGTTGCAGAAGATGTGCTATCCAAAATTAGAAGCCTTGCAGCCGATGCACTGTTTGGTAAATCTCCTTCAATGTCACCCGGGATAGCGCTTTTCTTGACAAAACCGGCAATTCTGGATCCTGCGTTTTATGTCATGGCCTTAGCCTTTCGCACTGCCATGCAATGGGTTGCACTTCAAACACCGGCCATGCAAACAAGTTTTTTCACGACTGCGGCGCAATTCCAAGGTTCCACAGCGCAGGTCAAAGGACCTGCCACTGCGCTGAAACGATATTTAACCAAACTGTCATGGACCATGGACTCAGCAGGCAATGTCCATGCAGATGCACTTGTGTCCGTCAATTTGGCCACAGACAGTTTTCACAGAGTTTATAAGTTTCTTGAGCTGGCCTGGCAACAAGACTTGATAAAGAACCTTACATCGCGCTACAGCCTTTTTAGCATGCCAGATATCGCTCGTGACGATACCCTGCTTGTTTTGAAAAAAAATTCCACCAAAGAAAGAAAGCAACTCACCCGTGAGATAGCCGGTGCGTTCCAGTTAGAGACGCAAAAGGCCCATTGGGCCGAAGGTGCCAGTGGACTCTGCAAATTTTGCCAGCAACCTGACAGTCATGCCCACAGATTGCTTCATTGTCCAACATTTGAGGACACACGTTCCATGCATGCGACAGCACTGCGGCAAATGGAAGATGAAGGACCGGAATTCGACAAACTGCCAGCCATCACTGTGCATCCTATGGCTGCTATGCACAGGGCACTGCATTTTCAACAGCCTCCTCCAGTCATAGCGCAGGAGTTCACACAATTTGCAGACTGCATCCTGCGTATGGACAGGGAATACCACATGTACATAGATGGGAGTTGCGTTTTTCCAAGCTCCCCCACAACTCGATACGCCGCATTCGCGGGGGTGATGGACATGGCCAGGGATGACGACCATAGGCGTTCACTTGCGGAGCAATTCAAGGTGCGGGGCATTGTGCCCCCAACACTTAGGCCATGCTTTGCCGGGCGGGTTATAGGAGAACAAACTATTAACCGCGCAGAGTTGTCAGCACTCATCCAAGCGGCTATGTTCTCGCGAGCCATCCTGCACACGGATAGCCAGTATGCATGCAATATGGCACAGGAAGTTGCCCAACACAAGCCAATCGGACCACAATGTGCCAATAGAGACTTGCTCACAGCCCTTCGTGCCGCACACATCGACCCAGCCAGGGTTCGAAAAATTCGAGCCCATCAAGACTTGGCGGGAATCACAGACTTGTTGCAACTCTACCATGCTTTGGGTAACACCATAGTAGATGAAACTGCAAAAAGAGCGTGCCAAGATCTTGCCAAGCCGTGGCAAGCTGAGTTGCAGGCTTTTCATAACCAGATTCAGTATGAGCGTGACTTGTTGCATGATGTTTACCTGTTATATTTGGAACTCAGCACAGCCCGTAGCGTTGCTGAAAAACAGTTGACCCGACAGGAAGACACCACCCTGCCACCAGCGGCGAAGGTGCCAGATGACAAAATCATGTTGGCCGTTGCCAATTGGCAGCCAGATGACGTTTTTGCCATGCAGAAGCCTGCCACCATGGAGTGGACACCGTTTTTTTCATGGGGCAGCGACCTTGCAATGAAAATTGTTGCGTGGATGGAGCAAATACGATGGGTCAGTGAGGGACAGGGTCCGCTTGAGAAGGAGATGGGGATCTCCTGGCTCGAACTAGCCCTAAGTTTTTCTATGTCGATTCAACGTGCTTTGCCAATTTTGCGTAAAAATAACTTGGGACAAACTAGGTTGCTTCATGTGGAGGACCAAGCTGATGTTGCTGCACACAGTGTGACTTTGAACGACCTGGCAGCCACCTTCCAAAAAATGTGGTGTCAGGCCGAAATTTGGATCACTAAGGATGTTTTTCCCCCAGCCAAAAAAGGACTTCAACCGAGCTTGTTTTTGCAACACTTCAAACAATATACCAGTGGCATTAGTCCACGACCTGTCATTCCATACCAGCGTGAGGTGGCGCAATTTGTTTTTAAATTCTTGGTGAATAAATCAAACTACGATTTGATGCTGGACGCGGCGTGGAGCCAACCGAGAACAAAACCTTTGCAAGATCTCAACTGGACACAGATATGTGACAGGTTGAAAACAACGAGGCGCACTTGGAAGACATGAAGCTCTCGCAAAGCGAGAATGGTATCACTAAGGTCTACCCGCCGAAATGGCGGAGCTTCAAGGACACAGTGCTCACCTTCCGCTGCTGCTGGGGGTGGGCACTCAAAACAAGGAAAGGGGCCGCAAGATTCAGGTCAGTGAAATATTATAATTTACCCAGATATAATCCCATATATCACTAGTCACTATTTAGTTTGGACCCGTTGACAAGTTGAAGTTTGTGCACTGGAAAAAAACCGATTGAGTCAGATGGTGTTGCTGCTCGTATCAAAACAACATTCTGAAAGATCTCAAAGATCAATGCATTCAGCTTGCGTAAGGTCGAAATTTGGCTCCAGTTCTTCGAAACTGATATCACTATCATTACTCATCCACCAATTTACGCAAGAACCGGAGCCAAAATAAATGTTTTCCCATTTAAAGTCAAAATTTACTGTCATTAATCATTAATGTTCTCCCAATTTACGGTACTGTTTTCAATACTCCCATCCCAAATATTTGATACCATCCCCTGAACAACAAAACATGGTTTCTGGGGTGGTGTTTTTTTTCTGCACGGGGGGAAATGATTTATAATTATAAATCCCAATTCATTAAGAAACACTCCCAGTCAATCCCAGTCAATCCCCCTAAATGCCAAATAAATCCCATATAAGCCATATAATCCCAAATCCCATACTATCCATCAAAAAATCCAACAGTTAATGTCAATAATCCCAATAAATCCAACAATAAATCCCAATACATCAGATGATGCTTGCTGTTACGGCCACCCACAAGCAGGTCCTGGCAGTGATGCCGAATGGTTGGGTCGGGGCCCCGGCTGAGAACTCCGGGGAAAATCATCGAAGTATTGCCGGTGCATTGTCCAGCCATGGTTAGCGGATGGTTTTTATGGCGTGTAACCTATGGCTGAAAGCTCCAAAAAGGCAATTTAATTCATGTCCAAGCATACGGTTTGGATCATTTGGGAATGGATCCAGACTATACTACCATATAGCTACTGCCATATATATTCATGAACATCCTTTTACCATTCTTTTACCATTTATTTTGGTGTTCACCTGCCCAGGGTTGTGATCAATAGACACAATATACATATGCAAATGAATCACAGTTTCAGATCCTGCAGGGCACAGGACAGTAGTAAACCATCGAAATTTGAAGGGTGACAATTCTGACCCCAAATGCTTTTAAGTAGGATGAGTATGGGTATGGGTATCTCATTTTGGCGATTGTTTTACCCTGGATTGAGATTATTGTGCTCAGAACAACCACTACAAGTGGGATCAGTGAATTATGCTCATCTATTGATGATCCCAGGGCAATACTCCAAGATACCCGGAAGCATTGCTTGATACCGTAGAAGCCACTCATTTCACTGAAGTTGGACAAATTCATCCTGTAGCTTAACACCCAAGGGGATCTTAAAGATAGAACCCACAAACCCTGACCGGCGACCCTCAAAAATTCTGCCAATTCAGCTGGTCCAGTGAAACCGAAGGCTGCCAGTGTGGGTGTCATGATCGGAGATGAGATGCTTGCCATTGGCGCAGGTCGGGATCGGGCTCAAAGAAACCCAGAAGCTCCGCCCTGCTGAAAATCCACCCAGAAACTGGGTGTCACAGTTTCTTGGTGGATTTCAAAAAGGTCCTTAGGTGTTTTTGTCCATCCACATGCTATGAGTTACTGCCATGCAGCCCATTTCTTGGGGTGGCCACCCATTGGTTTTTTCGGCTGCACGAGGCAAAGCAAAGACCTTGGAGGAGCTGAGTTCCACCGAAGTCCGGAAGTTCATGGCTGAGGCGATCCCGATTCACGGAGGTTTGGGATGGCCTGGAAATTATCGTATATATATATATATATTATATATATATCATGATACCAAATAGGAGACCAACCAATATATATATATATATAATTTATATATATATATATATATCTCGGAGTTTGTGAGACCAAATGGGAGATCATCCAATCATAGAGATACCAACCTATATTAAAAACAATGGTTAAACCTGAAACTTGTTTTGTGTTTTCATTCAACTACCACAATTTGACACATGAAATATACGGTTTGCCCGTTAATGCCTTAAATCGTGTATAAAATCATTACTATTCTATATCTATATAAACACAATGTATATGCTACCTAATTGATTTTATTTTACCAGCATCTTGAACTATTAGTCTATTTTATTCAACCGTCAGTAAGTATATATATATATATATATACATATTTGAACCATTGATAAGAATGACTTACTATATACTGTACCAAACTATTGTATAGGTGTATGTGTATATATATATACACATTTATGGATACATATATATATATATATTTGTAAATATAGATATGTAAATATAGATATGTAAATATAGGTACATATAGATAGATTAGATTAGATTAGGTTAGATTAGATTAGATTAGACTAGTTTAGATTATAGATTGTAGATTATAGATTATAGATCAGATTAGATTAGATTAGATTATAAATTAGATAATAGATTAGATCATATTTATATATATATATATAGATATGTAGATCTATCCCAAATGGTGGATTTCAGCCCCGTTCCCACACGTTTCCACCGAGGTGCGGCCCCTGAAGATCACCTTCCGCCACGGCGCGGTCAGCGAGCGGCGCCACGTGAGCGTCCTGCGGCTCCAGGCGGCTGTCCATGGGGATTTCGATGGGGTTTTCCACTGACTTATATCAATGGGAATTCCAGGATCCTAAAATGGAGGTACTGTACCATATAAGGCCATATTTTGTGGGGATATTCCCTTACATAGCCCTTACATAGACCTTATATATGGTAGGTACCTCCAATTTTGGTTTCATTGGGGACTTTTGCAGGAATCCAAAAATTGAATGGTCTTTTCATGCCATTTTTTTACCCCCCAAATCCGATCAGTTTTTTTTGAACAAATCGTAGCTGTTCCCCAAAGCTGGACCACAGATGTGGGATGATCCCCGATCAATGGCCATGCAACAGGAACCTAAATTGGAGGTACCTACCATATATAAGGTCTATGTAAGGGCTATGTAAGGGAATATCCCCACAAAATATGGCCTTATATATGGTGCAATACCTCCATTTTAGGATCCTGGAATTCCCATTGAAATAATGATTAATGGTTCAAGCAGCTTAAACTGTTTACATGTTTGACCAGACAGATTCCGGTGAAGCACGTCGCTATTGCACCAATTTTGAGGACACCCTCCCTGTACTCAAAGAGAATCATTGCAAAAATCATCAAAGATCAATGATCTGTAATGCAGTTGACCTATTGAGCTCAGATTATGAATTTTGCCTTCCCAGGCCATTGTACAACTTGATTTACTTTTATAGGCAAAAGGTGAATGCTGAGTACTATTTCAATACTTGGTGGCCCACCCCAGTTAGTAAGTGGCTAATAACCCCACTTATAGGAAGGCCAAGTAGGCGCAATGTCCTGTTATTTCACTAGGGGTGAGCTAACCCACAAACACGATTTCTGTTGAATCCCGATTCTCCACTGGTAGTCTTACCCTCTGGTAATTTAAACATAGCTATTGAAAATTGTCATTTAGCTCATTGATCTACGATCCGTAAAACCAGTGGTGATTTTCCAGTTCGCTATGTTAACGTTTACCATAGCTATAGTATTTGGCCATTTATGTGGGTGGCATTTTTTCCATCAAAATATGGCCCCAAAAAGATGCCGAAACGTGTTCCCCTGAGCCAGGCGTGTTTCCGTGGTGAGCTGCTCCGTGGGCAACTACGGCGCAGCCCAGAGGCGGCTGGTGGTGGCCGAAAAAGCATCGGTGTGGAGAAATACCATGGGGATGGTCTACGATTTTTTTGAGAATTTACTATGGAAGATCACTATAGTCACCATGTTTTTCATAGGGAAACCATCTACAAAGCTGCAGTTTTCAATAGCTATGTGAAATTACCCAAGGGCAAGTGGCTAAAATTGAGGTAGTATAACCAGAAAGCCAGTTGTGGTGTACCAGAAAAAAGGGCTTCAGCCAAAGATGGAGATTTAAGCAGCCAAAATTGCATGTAACTGGACCTTCAATATACATTTTGTTGGGTATGGGTTGTCGGTTTTGGTATTTAGTAACAGCTCTTGGGAGTTCCAAGCTCGAAAGGTGATTCTCCTCCTCAGCAGATAGAATCGAGATTCAGCGTCAAGATGATGTTTCAGCCATGTTTTTGATATACCTCAGGACGGATATAGATGGGACAGTATAGTAGATTCAAAAGCTATCCCGGCTATCCCCTGAAAATCCCCAAATGACTCGATTTACCCGAAGCCCGCAGAGTTCAGAGAACGGAGATGTCCAACCGTTGGCGGCGAAGATCAAAAAACTAGACCACGGATGGCCCGAGAGCGTAGAGGAGCAGGGTCTTCTCTTGTTAGTATGGAGACACAATTTTAGAAACAATATATGGAAGATGTGTTATAGGCAGTCGAGAAGAGGAGTATCAAGACAAAATAGTGAGAAGTGCAAGACAATAGTTTGCATCGCAAACACTTTTACACACAGACGCTTTTACACACAAAAGCTTTTAGACACAGAAGCTTTTACACACAAACATCTTCACACAGAAACACTCTTACACACAAACCCTTTTACACAGAGACACTTTTACACACAAAAGCTTTTACACACAAACACTTTTACACAGATGCACTTGTACACACAAACACTTTTACACACAAACATCTTTCCACCGAAACACTCCGACACACAAACACGTTTACACACAAACACTTTTACACACAGAAGCTTTTACACACAGACACTTCTACACAGATGCACTTCTACACACAAACACTTTTACACACAAACATCTTCACACAGAAACACTCTTACACACAAACCCTTTTACACAGAGACACTTTTACACACAAAAGCGTTTACACACAAACACTTTTACACAGATGCACTTGTGCACACAAACACTTTTACACACAAACATCATTCCACCGAAACACTCCGACACACAAACACGTTTACACACAAACACTTTTACACACAGAAGCTTTTACACACAAACACGTTTAAACAGATGCAATTTTACATACAATCACTTTTACACACAAACATCTTTACACGGAAACACTCGTACACACAAACCCGTTTACACACAAAGATTTTTACACACAGAAGGTTTTACACACAACACTTTTACACAGATGCACTTGTACACACAAACACTTTTACACACAAACATCTTTACACAGAAACGCTCGTACACACAAACCCCTTTTCCTGGGAAAGGATTACTACAGCACACGATAAATCGCAATTTTTCCTCAGTTTTTGCCGATCGACCATCATTTCGTGCGAAAGGGTTGCTCCGGGGCAAGTCAAATCGCAATTTTACATCAGTTTTTGACGATCGATCCTCATTTCGTGCGAAAGGGTTGACGTTTCGTGACTCCCCGCCGGTACCACCCTCGGCCTAAAGAGAGAAAGATAAAGAAGGCGAGAGAGAGAAAAGGGAGAGAGAAAGGAGAGAAGATGTGAAGATGAGAAGATGTGAAGAGGAGCAGATGTGAAGATGAGCCGATGTGAAGATGAGCAGATGTGAAGATGAGAAGGTGTGAGAGAAGGTGTGAAGATGAGAAGGTGTGAAGATGAGAAGGTGTGAAGATGAGATGTGAAGAAGAGCAGATGTGAAGATGAGCAGATGTGAAGATGAGCAGATGTGAAGATGAGAAGATGTGAAGATGAGCAGATGTGAAGATGAGCAGATGTGAAGATGAGAAGATGAGATACAGACCCCCACTATTGGAAGAACCCTGCGCTCAGACGCTCTCGGGAAAAATGCCCACACGTCAAAAACACCATGGATGCTTGGAGTATGTCTTTTAGTTTGGTGATACTTGCAATCTTCAATCCGAAATTTAAAAATCCTGCCATGGATGATATGATCACGGATATCCACGTGGTCCCAAACAACTTCCACTTGGTGATGCTTGCGACCCACGTCCAGCGTAAGTTCGGGGTTTCTAATTGGATTCACCAGGAATTATGTAGAAAAACATGCCCAGCAAATATATTTGATCGTTCTTAGATGTTGTTCATTGATACCCCCATGTGCATGTTATCAACATACTTGCCGACTGCGGTCTTCTAGTTTTTATCCAGCATTATTGTTGTTATTATTGTTACTAGTCTTCTTCTTATTATTATTTAAGTATTACTAATAGTTTTTATTATTATGATTATTATTATAAAAAAAAAATATTGTTATTATCATCGACATCGTCATCGTCGTCGTCGTCGTCATCATCATCATCCTCAGCCTCGTCCTCGTCCTCATCATCCTCATCCTCATCCCCATCCTCGTCGTCGTCGTCATCATTACTATCAGTGTCATTAACTATTATACTTAGCATGTTGCACATACACAACTAGTTTAAGCACATTGGACATTGGACATTGGACATGTGTTTCTGTCCACAACCACGAAGCCTCACTGCCAGGCTGACGCTTTGCGCGACGCCCTTCATGCTGCCGCAATGGCCGCCAAGACTGCGCCCGCCAGCGCCGGTGCTGCGGCGACGCTCGACGAACGGTGGTGGCGGGTTCCAAACGGGCGGGTAGGCAACTGGCGAGTGACGACAAGAGCTCAACTCATCTGGTTGGTGGTTTCACACATTTTTATTTTCCATAATATATGGGATAATCCTTCCCATTGACTAATCTTTTTCAGAGGGGTAGGTCAACCACCAACCAGCATAATATGGTGTTTACCAAGCATAGTGGGTGATACTTTCACGGGATAACTGGATAACCAAATCACACCAGTAATGGCTTGCTTGATGTGGAAAGCCCATCAGTAATCAAATATGGTCATGGGAAATCCCAACCAATGGAGGTTCTAGTGAAAAGCATCGAACGGATTTTGGTGGATTTTCCAAACCATGTTTGATTACAGGAAGGTAATGTGCTGAAAAATCATAAAAGCAGACCATGGGGTTGGTTTAAGTACCAAGCACTTATGGTCATATCTGGGCATGGTTTATAGTTATGAAGCCACATAGAGTCGTCCAGAACCATCCACCTTCCGGAGATAGCCAGGGTTTCAGCGGAAATCTGTGGTTGGGTTGAGTCATGTTGAATCCCAGGGATCAAAGATTGCTGGAAACTGCCCCAGTTTTATGATGTTCCCATTCACACCTCCATCTTGATCCACTTCCAAGGGCAGCGGCAGGGCAGGCTGGAAGGGCTGGAAGGGCTGGAAGGGCTGGAAGTGGGTAGCTTTCAGCAATCAAATAAATATGGCATTAGGAAATCCCCGATCAAAATGGAAATTCCAATGGTAAAGTCATCTATAAGGGATGGATTTTCCATCAATATTTGATTACCAGAGGGTAGTAGGGAGGAGTCACGTTTGTGCATTTTTCATGAGAATTGAAATCATTTGTCTAGCAGCTACAGGTTCTAGATCCTTGGAATACTTGGTGATTGACTTGCATTCTTTCGATCGGTTTCGTGCCGCATTTGCTGGCTTCAAGATCTCATCGTAGGATGTCATAGGTATTGCAACGAAAGATGCCCGATCTCTTGGCAGAGTTTGCAATTTTTGTCGCAAATCTTGGTCCCGTTTAGTTTATCATCAATTCCAATGTATTTCAGGATTATTATATATATTCATTTTATTAGATAGTAGTAGGGTTTTGAGTCAATCTATCCCACGGTCACCTCTTGCTTTCAATTTCTGTTGCTAAACCCAGTCACATCTTGCGGACAAGCATCCCATGTTAGGGTACCGACTTGACACATACCCTAAATTCCTTGTTTCATTCCGAACCAGAATATTCACCATGCTCAAGCCCATTGGGAAGTTTACATGGATTCTAGATGATATGAAGATTTTATATAAGCCCAATATAGCCCAATTGGACCATGAAAAACTCATGTTTAAACTCAGGGAAGAATTACAAGGTGGACCCCCCAGGAATGTTTGTGAATCAACCTCATTCCCGATATATCCACCAGAAACCATCGTTCAGTCAGTTCTTAAAAAAACTTAGCGATCATAAATCAGCTATAAATCCCATGAAACCGCCATGTTGGCTCCCCGGAAATCACCATTTTGGACCCCGCTTCCCACGGGGAAAAAAACCGTCGGAAGGCAGCCCTTGGCTCGCTGACCTTGAACGGCGTGTCGCTGCCGCTGCAGATGGAAAGCCTGGCCGAGGTGGTGGCAGGCGCTATCGCCCAAGACGTCGCTGATGAAAAGTGGTAGGTTTTTTCAAAGTGATTAAAATGAATGTATTATTAACTGTTAATATAATGAATGTGTGTATTATATATATAATTCTATTGTATATTACACATATATATATATAAATAATCATTATACATATGTATGTGTGTGTTTATTTAATATACATACTATGTACTATGTATATATATATATATATAGCATGTCTATATGTATCATATCGGTCATATCGTCTCAGGTGTTTTTATGGGAAGCAATCTATAGATGGGGATATGTTATGGGAATGGCATGTGATTGATTGAAGCTGGCTATGACTGGGGATACCTACCAGCCATCTCTGTGCTTGCAGGGTATCTAAGATTGGCTCTGAAAATATACGCACTAAAAGTGGATAACTACGGCTTAGTATTTGAAGTGTGGATCAATCCAACAGTAATACCTGCCGCCAAGGAATATCCCCCTAGAAACTCTGCTCAAAAGGTGGTTTTATGTGATCATGGGGATGGGATGACATCCATTCGCAGATTCGTGTTTCATATGTGCTTAAAGCGAGTTATCCCATGATGTCCCAGGGCCCAGGATTCCCAATCCTTCGCCACTTCAGAGGCTGCTTCCTGCGCGTGGGCAACGAAGATTCTGCGGAGGAGGCTTGTTGATGGTTGACCATGAGGCTCCAACCTCTTCTTTCGGGGTGCAGCTGGTTTTTTTGAAGCCTATAACTTATAATTATAACCATGCTGAAAACCTCCGCAAGTTGTGGTATATTATTAAACCCCTATACCTATGGTTATATATATATATATTTATTATATACATATATATATATATGTATATGTATATATGTATAGATATACATATATATATATACATATGTATAGATATACATACATATATATATGTGTGTATGTATGTATAGATAGATACATATATATATATATGTATAGATATACATATATATGTTTAGATATATATATATATGTATAGATATAGATATATATGCGTCTAGAAATATACATATATATTTGCATAGATATATATATATTTATATATATATATGTATAGATATTTACATATATATGTAAATATGTATATATATATAGTATATACAGTATATATATTCATAGATAGATATATATATATTTAGATATATATATATATATATCTGTGTGTCTAGATATTTACATAAATATACATATATATGTATAGATATAAATGTGTATATATATATATATCCACTATATATATATATATATATCCACTTACAATTGGAACTGCACCCCCAAGTTCATGACAGGCTTGTCCGGGCTTCGGGCTTCACCCCGTTGATCTTTGGGGTACCATTTAAGCAGGCTTTAGTGGGTCGGGTTGATGGAGATTCTGGGATTCCCATAGTTCTTGATGGATTTCCCATGGATTTTCCCGAACAAACCCATCCAGAAGCGAAGACTGGGATGAAAAAAATACGTCGAAAAAGATGGTAATAATAAGGTAAACCAGGTGGTAAAAGCAAACAGTCCATGGTATAATAAGGTGGTAAAAGCACAAACCATGCCTCGTGACCACATGTAGGCCAGCCGAGTGGCTCTGCGTGCTGCTGGGACACCAAGTGGCTTCAAGTGGCGGAAAGATGTTGGGTACCGGGGCGCAGCACTCTGAGACTTCCATGTTTTCATCAGAATCTACAGTCAAACGTGCTTTGAACCATCAAAAGTCAGGTGTTGCTAAACGAAAAGGGGAGCTATAACCATAGCCATGTTCCCATGAAGCACGCGTACAAGAAGGATATGAAAAACCATGGAAAAAACCAAAGGAAATGATTTACAAACGGTGGATTTTCTATGTCAACGTACTGGAGGGTAATCCACAAGAATTCCGACGTCAACCGAAGGAACGAAACACACGGGAAAAAACGTGCAAGGAGACAGCAAGATTTTTCCCATGGATTTACCCTCTGGTAAACTGACAGTTTGCTATTGAAAATGGCCCAGTCCCCTAATTTGGTCTCTCTTTTTGAAGAGGTTTTTGCTGGACCCGGCTGTGCTAACAGGGCCACGGCTACAACCACGAGACTGAGATCCTCAGAATGGTGGACTCGAATTTCATCAAGCTTTGGGACCGCTTGGACGTGGCTGAGGTCTTACAGGGAAAATCCAAGAGTCGTTTGGCTGCAGCCCAGTACGCTATAACACAGGTTCACAATCGCTTCAAGTTGACGAAGTTCTTCAAGAAATGCTGCTACCTGCTACCGGATTGCTTGTCCTTCCTCTTCTTGGACAGGCCCCAGCAAGGAGACACACTTCTCAGCTGTGGCAATAAGCCCATCCATGGAAGTTCTTGATGTGTGGTCCCAAAAGCAGGGCAAGGCCGGATTTCTTGTGTTTTTTTCAAGTATGGCTACCTTCCCATTCTTGATTGATAAGGATACATAGCAACCCCAGCAAAGATGGAAAAACAAAATCTCATTCAAAAAGTGATAAATCATGTATCCATCGAAGAGGTGTAAGTAAATTCGCAAATTTTGTACATCCCACTCAGATAGCGAGAGAGAGAGAGAGAGATATATATATATAATTATATATATATACACGTACATACACCTATAATTAATATATATATATATATATATTTATTTATTTATTTATATTTATATATAAATATATAAGTATATATATATATATATATCATGTATGTATTTTTATGTATAGATAGGTGTATATATATATATTATATATATAGAGAGAGGGATAGATAGATAGATAGATAGATAGATAGATAGATAGATAGATAGATAGATAGATAGATAGATAGATAGATAGATAGATAGAAAGATAGATAGATAGATAGATAGGTAGGTAGATAGATAGATAGATAGATAGTTAGACAGATAGATAGTTAGATAGATAGATAGATAGATAGAAATATATAGATATATAAATATATGAATATATAAATAAAAATATGTAAATATATAAATATAATGTATGTATCTAGATATGTATTTATATATATAGTATTTAGATATAGATATTTACATTTAATGTATGTAAATATTTTTATATTTTTATATTTATATATATTTACCGAAGGAAGTTTAGAAGTCAAACTTCCGACAATATGGACAGATGAAGAGCAGAGGTGGTAAGAGTCAAAGAAGAGAAGAGAAGAGAAGAGAAGAAGAAAGAAGATCAAAAAGAGAAAGTCTCAGAAGAAAGAAGATCCAGGTGCCCGAAAAGGTAGGAAAGTCGCGAAACACTGTGTTTTTCCAATGATTTGTGGCCCCGGAGGGCCGAAAAGTAGGCTCGCTAAAGCTGCGGGTGCGGAGCCAGCTGGGCAGATGAGAGATGAAAATTTGCACGCCGTTGTTGGGGCGAAGCACGTTTCGAAGTCAAAATGTACAAAACACAACATGTTCGGACCACTTTTGGAAGTTGAGATGTCAAAAAAGTAAGATGCACAAAACACACATGTTCGGACCACTTTTGGAAGTTGAGATGTCGAAAAAGTGCACGCCGTTGTGGCGCGAAGCACATTTCGAAGTCAAAATGTAGAAAGCACTTCAGCTTCGGAGCACTTTTGGAAGTTGCGATGTCGAAAAAAGTGCACGCCGTTGTCGCGCGAAGTCAAAATGTACAAAACATGTCAGCTTCGGAGCACTTTTAGAAGTTGCGCTGTCGAAAAAGTGCACGCCGTTGTGGCGGGAAGCACATTTCGAAGTCAAAATGTGAAAAAACACCACATGCTCGGACCACTTTTGGAGTCAGATGTCGTTTCGACCTTGTCAAAAGTGAGGAAAACGTGAGGTTTTTGTAGCATTTCCAAGAACGATGGCAGGCGTGGGGCATTTGAAGAGGATCTGGAAAGATGCATGTTCCGTGGCAGGCGCAGTACAAGAGACATCTTCATCAGAGCTGTTAGGCGGTCCGGGCGCTGATTTCCCAAGAGGGGTTGCATTTTGGAGCCTCAGATCCTCAGGTTTGCTGAGATGATTTTGCGTGACAGGTGCAACACTTCGTATGACCTGGCATCACTTTTTCGTGGCAGGCGCAGTATTTTAGACAGGTGGAGTGCAAAAATTGCAAAACGCATTGGCACGAGGCCGTCAGCTCTGCACTCAACTTTCCATTTTTGAAGGAAGTCGCGCAGACTTGCTTCGTTTTTTGATGTTGTCAACTTTGAAAATTGAGGAAGTCTCGCAGACTTGTTTCGTTTTTGATGTTGTCAAGTTCAAAAATTGAGGAAGTCTCGCAGAATTGCTTCGTTTTTGACGTTGTCAAGTTCAAAAATTGAGGAAGTCTCGCAGAATCGCTGCGTTTTTAAGCTTGCAGGTAGACAGACAGACAGACAGGCAGACAAACAGATAGATAGATCCATAGATAGACAGACAATTACAACTACAACAACTACAACCACTACACTACTGCTACAGCTACAAATGCAAATATACTACGCTACCTTATGCTACACTAATTACACTACACTACACTCATTACATCTCATTACATCCAATTACGCTAACAACTACAACAACAATTACTACCACAACTACAACTACAAATACAAATACAACTACACTACACTACACTAATTTCACTGCAGCACACTACAACTACAAATACAATTACAATTACAACTACAACCACACTACATTACACAACACTACACTACACTGATTACATTGCATTACACTACAACTACAACTGCAGCTGCAAATGCAACTACCACTGCACTACACTACCACTGCACTACACTACCCTGCACTACACTGCACTACACTGCACTACACTGCACTACACTACACTGCACTACACTACACATACTACACTACACATACTACACTACACTACATTACACTACACGACAATACACTAATTACATTGCACTACACTACAACTACACTAATTACACTACACTACACTACACTACACTACACTAATTACACTGCGCTACACCACAACTACATTACCTTACACTAGACTACACTACACTATACCACACTACACTATACAACACTACACGACATTACGCTGCACTACACTACACTACTTACACCACACCACGACTAAAACTGCAACTGCACTTGCAAATAAACTAATTACACTACATCACGGCTACAGCTCCACTACACTACAACTACAGCTACAACTGCAACTACAACTGCACTACACCACACTACATCCAGCAGTTGTGATTGTGGGCCCGGTGGCCACAGCAACCATTGCAACCATTCCAAAAAACACAGCTCCAACCATCTTTCGGTCCATCAGTGGATTCGCTCTGCCATCCGTGTTTCACAACAACCAATCTCTCCTATAGGCTTCCTATTTCTGAAACTTCCGCCACCGCCTTGTGCGGCACTACTGGTATTTATATGCATTTCTATGTATTAATTTATTTATTTATTTATGTATATATTTATATATATATATATCCATATTCTCCCTCCATTTCTCTTGTTTAGGCCCAGAACGCAGAGCTTCCACCCATGCGCTGTGCTGAAGCAGCGGTCGCGACCTCAGCACCACTTTCCGTAGCAAGTCTGAAGGGATAATGGTGGTAAGGCAGTCATAAATTCCCACCGAATGATGATTTGACTTTACATATAATGGGGATACAACTGGATACAATGGAATATTCCGGCGGATAGTTGATTTAACTACGGAAAAAGGCCGATTTAGCCAACAAGAATGATGGTATAATTGGGATGTCGTGGGGATATAACAGTGATTATTTGTCGAATCCGCCTGAAGTAGCTGCAAATTGAATCATTTCCATTTTTTGTGGGACTAGTATAAAAATGAAGTTGTAACTGGCAACTGGGCACCACCCCTTATGGTTTGTTCAACCCAAGTAAGGGCTTCATTCAATCCTTTCTTGTTCTGTTTTTTTTACCTGAAAGATTCTCTTTGGTCGGTCGCCATTTCTTGTCTGCAAGTCAGACTGATCTACGCAAATGTTTGATTTTCTTGGGCTAGTTGAGATCGAATTTCGATTAAACCCCATTGTTTCTAATTTATATAATACTCGATCTACCCATTTTGATTGAGCCGAGCCTCCACAAAAAAAAAATCACATCCATATCACAGTTAGTCTTGAATGGGCAGTTGCCCAGGAAAATTGGGCCAAGAAAAAATGTCGATGTTACCCTCAGTGATTTATTTTTTTTCTTGTTATTAGTGTTATTATTTTACTTTCATTACTGTTATTATTAGTACTATTGTTGTTATTATTATTATATATATATATCCTAGAGTTGTATATTATTGAACCTCCCACTAGATATTTCATAAGAAAATATCCCTAATGTGGTAAACCCAATGCCATGAATCATCTCCCAGTAATCTGATTGGTTCGCCAAAACTAGGGGATCTTCCTGCATTTTTTTATTAAAAAAACATATATGAATGCCCCTTATTCTTCATGCGGCTATCCTTAGGCTTTGGCAGCCGGTGCGGTGACGGCCCGAGCATTGTTGGCGAAAGGCTGCCACTGTTCCAACGGGAAAGTGCGGATGAGGTGGCCATGATTGGTGTAAATTTCGGATGGGTTGATGTTGATGTTTATATTGATCTTGAGGATGATGATGATGATGATGATGATGATGGGATGATGATGATGATGATGACGATGATGTCGATGATGGATATGAATGATGAATGGTGAATGGTGAGAATGATCATTATAGGGTTAATAGTGGTCCATAATGGCTCATTAAGGTTGATAAATGATGTTTATTGGTAGATCAAGTTGCCTACGAAATACATTGAAATACAATATTCGGGAGATGAACATGCATTTACCCGCTATACTGGGGTGCACCAGTGTACCAGGGTTTTGACCCAGCCAAACTTGGCGAGAATGATGTTGATAGCTTTTAAAGTGATATATTTAAATAATCGAGAAGCTCGAACTACAACGAGATATTGACTTCTTGGTTTGAGACAACTGTATGATGATGAATTCCACTGTTTTCCACTTTGGAACCAACTTTGTATTGGTTCGGACCTGTTGTTGCCAGCTTAAGCCTCCTGGTTAGTGTCTCTACTCCGTACCTTTTCATGTCCATCTGGTTTGGCGTTGATCCTGTTTTTTCTGACTACAACAGCACCTTTTGGGTAACGAACTCCAATTCTTGGTGCTCAGACTCAACTCCAGATGTTTTGTTCTTGAAAAAACCCTGTCATATGGTCGAATTTCCAGTTTCAGTCATAGATGTCCTTTTCCCATTGGTTGATGAATAGAGGGGTTTGAAGAAAACCCTTTAACAACAGGTAAATGATGATAGATGGTATACCAGTGCTCTTTCAATCTCCATGTTGGTTTGTTGACAAATCCCCGCAG